ACAAAATGGCTTAAATATAAATTGTTCTCAGTGTTTAACATATGCCAACTATTTTTTTTAATCCATTTGTTGGCACTGGGGAAAATACACCAAAATACACCAACAATGTTTAATTCAATCACCTCAAATGGTCACAAGTACATGTATTAGAATATTTGTTTGAAAGACAGTACACTGTAAATGATGGCTGGAAGGACATTAGATATACGTATTAACGTCTCTTAAATATAACAAAATGCTGTAAAAATAAGGTGAGTGTTAATACATCCAACATTTAATTCAGAATTTAGTAAAGTTGGTCAATAAAATAGCAAATTAATTTTTTACATAATAATAGGTGAGGAAATAAAATATATGATAAAATAAAAGAACAGTAAATTAAAATAAATGATAGATTTTGGATGAGTTGAATTTATATGGAATGAAAGTACAAATAGAGCTTTAAACATATTCATGAACCTTAACAATAAACATGTTCAAACTTTCATAGAAAAAGTTCTTGTGTTGCATTTGGAAAATGAATCTATACACTTTGTGCTCTGCAAAACCACTCAATCCTCTAACTGAAGATAATGCAAAGATCCTGTGAGACTAAGTGATAAAACTATTAATTCCTACACAAAGATATTGATAAATTAAGCAAACTGAGTGAAGGTAAATGAAGAAATTTAATAATTAAGCAAACTGAGTGAAGGTAAATGAAGAAATTTAATGTTGAAAAGTGTTGTATAGGAGAATGTAATATCAGGCTACATGAACAGATTATGTGATACAGTATTAAAAATATCAGACAGAGAGGCTATCAAGGGGTCATTGACAAAAGACTGTATCTGAAAGGCTGTAAATAAAATCGTGAGAAATTGAAATGATTGTGGCAAAAGTTTTTATACGTATATAAAGTACTCACGAGGAAATGCTATACAGCTGTTCCCAGCATATGTTATGACAAAATTAAAATATACAGCAATGATGTGGTGTTGGGACCTAAGAAAAAGCACATTTGAATGAGCTACAAAATAAGTCCAAAAACTAGGTATAAAATGGTTCCAAAATGTACAAAATATCAATCACAAAGAAAGGCTGAAGACACTGAAAATAACTTAATTGATTAACAGAAGGAAAAGAGAAGACAAGATACAGTAACTGTATTTGGTATAAAATCATAAAACATATACAGTGGAGCCTCGAGTTTCTGCTGCCCCAAGTTTCAGCCGTTTTGAGTTTGTCACTATTTTTGGCTAAATTTTGCCTTGAGTTTCGAACGGTAACTTGAGTTTCGACCTGTCTGCCTATGCGCACCCACACAAAGCCTCCCACGCATGAGTTGTGAGCCAGTCTGGCTTTGCTTCTCCTCGAGTGAACATTACCCTGCGCGTTCATCCAAACATATCACAATAATCCATTTCTTTTTTTTTGTTTGTTGATTGAGTGTGACTGCTACATAATTAAACATGGGCCCAAAGAAACTTTCTAGTGCCTGCCCTGTGGTAAAGAAAGTGAGAAACAAGATAGAATTGAAGAAAGAGATTATTAAAAGGACACAAGTGCAACTAATGTGACATTTTATTGTGGCAACGTTTCGCTCTCCAGGAGCTTTATCAATGGCTTGATAAAGCTCCTGGAGAGTGAAACATTGCCACAATAAAATGTCACATTAGTTGCACTTGTGTCCTTTTACTTTACATATTGTCGGTAATTCTACCAACTTTATTACAAAGAGATTATTGAAAAATACGAAAGCAGTATGTGTCTGCTGGAGCTTGCCAGGTTGTATGGCATTGGTTGTGTGGCATTGGGGAATTCCTTGGGGTTGGATGTGAGTGGCCAGGATGTGCAAGAGTTCGTGGAGGACCACAATGAAGAGATAACCACTGAAGAGCTGCAAGATCTTCATTTGGAACAGCAACAGACCAGAGCTGAGGAACTTGCTTCAGAGGAGGAGGAAGAGGGAGGGAAGGAGGTGTCTTCTTCAGAGATTAAGGAGATTGTGCAATGTGGAGTAGTGTGCAAACTTTTGCTGAGAAATGTCACCCTGAGCAAACTGAAACAAGCTATCTCTGCAACATGTTCAGTGACAAAACAACGTTCCATTTCAAACAAATGCTAATGAGACGCCAGAAACAGACCTGGACAGTTTTTTTGAGTGACAGGGGTCCAGTGACTCAAGCTGGTCCTAGTGGCACTAAAAAACAAAGAAGGGAAGTAACCCTGGATAAGGACTTGTTACCTAATGTCTTTATGGAAAGGGATTTCCCTTCCAAACAATAATAAATCCAGGGGGGGGGAATGGACCTGCTCCGCATGGGTCAGTAGGCCTGTTGCAGTGTTCCTTCTTTCTTATGTTCTTAAAGTCCTCTCTCTCTCCTCCCTGTCTTTCATACGCCAATAAGAGTCTTCAGTAAAGGTATGTAAATGTGATTTTAAATGTTTATGTATTTCATTAGTCATTTAAGTGTTATAAGAAGAGTAGAGTATATGGAGAGTAAAAGAAAGATGAAGAGAGTGGTGAGAGAGTGCAAAAGGAAAGCAGATGATAGAGTGGGAGAGGCACTGTCAAGAAATTTTAATGAAAATAAGAAAAAATTTTGGAGTTAAACAAGTTAAGAAAGCCTAGGGAACGAATGGATTTGTCAGTTAAAAACAGAGTAGGGGAGTTAGTAGATGGGGAGATGGAGGTATTGGGTAGATGGCGAGAATATTTTGAGGAACTTTTAAATGTTGACGAAGAAAGGGAGGCGGTAATTTCATGCACTGGCCAGGGAGGTGTACCATCTTTTAGGAGGAAGAAGAGCAGGATATGAGTGTGGGGGAGGTGCGTGAGGCATTACGTAGAATGAAAGGGGGTTAAGCAGCTTGAACTGACAGGATCATGACAGAAATGTTAAAAGCAGGGGGATATAGTGTTGGAGTGGTTGGTATTTTTGTTTAATAAATGTATGAATTGGATAGATGCGAGAAGTGGGTCATAATAAGCGTGTATGCACCTGGAGAAGAGAGGAATGCAGAGGAGAGAGAGAGATTTTGGGAGATGTTAAGTGAATGTATAGGAGCCTTTGAACCAAGTGAGAGAGTAATTGTGGTAGGGGACCTGAATGCTAAAGTAGGAGAAACTTTTAGAGAGGGTGTGGTAGGTAAGTTTGGGGTGCCAGGTGTAAATGATAAATGGGAGCCCTTTGATTGAACTTTGTATAGAAAGGGGTTTAGTTATAGGTAATACATATTTTAAGAAAAAGAGGATAAATAAGTATACAAGATATGATGTAGGGCGAAATGACAGTAGTTTGTGGATTATGTATTGGTAGATAAAAGACTGTTGAGTAGACTTCAGGATGTACATGTTTATAGAGGGGCCACAGATATATCAGATCACTTTCTAGTTGTAGCTACACTGAGAGTAAAAGGTAGATGGGATACAAGGAGAATAGAAGCATCAGGGAAGAGAGAGGTGAAGGTTTATAAACTAAAAGAGGAGGCAGTTAGGGTAAGATATAAACAGCTATTGGAGGATAGATGGGCTAATGAGAGCATAGGCAATGGGGTCGAAGAGGTATGGGGTAGGTTTAAAAATGTAGTGTTAGAGTGTTCAGCAGAAGTTTGTGGTTACAGGAAAGTCGGTGCAGGAGGGAAGAGGAGCGATTGGTGGAATGATGATGTAAAGAGAGTAGTAAGGGAGAAAAAGTTAGCATATGAGAAGTTTTTACAAAGTAGAAGTGATGCAAGGAGGGAAGAGTATATGGAGAAAAAAGAGAGAGGTTAAGAGAGTGGTGAAGCAATGTAAAAAGAGAGCAAATGAGAGAGTGGGTGAGATGTTATCAACAAATTTTGTTGAAAATAAGAAAAAGTTTTGGAGTGAGATTAACAAGTTAAGAAAGCCTAGAGAACAAATGGATTTGTCAGTTAAAAATAGGAGAGGAGAGTTATTAAATGGAGAGTTAGAGGTATTGGGAAGATGGAGGGAATATTTTGAGGAATTGTTAAATGTTGATGAAGATAGGGAAGCTGTGATTTCGTGTATAGGGCAAGGAGGAATAACATCTTGTAGGAGTGAGGAAGAGCCAGTTGTGAGTGTGGGGGAAGTTCGTGAGGCAGTAGGTAAAATGAAAGGGGGTAAGGCAGCCGGGATTGATGGGATAAAGATAGAAATGTTAAAAGCAGGTGGGGATATAGTTTTGGAGTGGTTGGTGCAATTATTTAATAAATGTATGGAAGAGGTAAGGTACCTAGGGATTGGCAGAGAGCATGCATAGTTCCTTTGTATAAAGGCAAAGGGGAATAAAAGAGAGTGCAAAAATTATAGGGGGATAAGTCTGTTGAGTGTACCTGGTAAAGTGTATGGTAGAGTTATGTAATTGAAAGAATTAAGAGTAAGACGGAGAATAGGATAGCAGATGAACAAGGAGGCTTTAGGAAAGGTAGGGGGTGTGTGGACCAGGTGTTTACAGTGAAACATATAAGTGAACAGTATTTAGATAAGGCTAAAGAGGTCTTTGTGGCATTTATGGATTTGGAAAAGGCGTATGACAGGGTGGATAGGGGGGGTAATGTGGCAGATGTTGCAGGTGTATGGTGTAGGAGTAGGTTACTGAAAGCAGTGAAGAGTTTTTACGAGGATAGTGAGGCTCAAGTTAGAGTATGTAGGAAAGAGGAAAATTTTTTCCCAGTAAAAGTAGGCCTTAGACAGGGATGTGTGATGTCACCGTGGTTGTTTAATATATTTATAGATGGGGTTGTAAGAGAAGTAAATGCGAGGGTCTTGGCAAGAGGCGTGGAGTTAAAAGATAAAGAATCACACACAAAGTGGGAGTTGTCACAGCTGCTCTTTGCTGATGACACTGTGCTCTTGGGAGATTCTGAAGAGAAGTTGCAGAGATTGGTGGATGAATTTGGTAGGGTGTGCAAAAGAAGAAAATTAAAGGTGAATACAGGAAAGAGTAAGGTTATGAGGATAACAAAAAGATTAGGTGATGAAAGATTGAATATCAGATTGGAGGGAGAGAAGTATGGAGGAGGTGAACGTATTCAGATATTTGGGAGTGGACGTGTCAGCGGATGGGTCTATGAAAGATGAGGTGAATCATAGAATTGATGAGGGAAAAAGAGTGAGTGGTGCACTTAGGAGTCTGTGGAGACAAAGAACTTTGTCCTTGGAGGCAAAGAGGGGAATGTATGAGAGTATAGTTTTACCAACGCTCGTATATGGGTGTGAAGCGTGGGTGATGAATGTTGCAGCGAGGAGAAGGCTGGAGGCAGTGGAGATGTCATGTCTGAGGGCAATGTGTGGTGTGAATATAATGCAGAGAATTCGTAGTTTGGAAGTTAGGAGGAGGTGTGGGATTACCAAAACTGTTGTCCAGAGGGCTGAGGAAGGGTTGTTGAGGTGGTTCGGACATGTAGAGAGTGGAGCGAAACAGAATGACTTCGAGAGTGTATCAGTCTGTAGTGGAAGGAAGGCGGGGTAGGGGTCGGCCTAGGAAATGTTGGAGGGAGGGGGTAAAGGAGGTTTTGTGTGCGAGGGGCTTGGACTTCCAGCAGGCATGCGTGAGCGTGTTTGATAGGAGTGAATGGAGACAAATGGTTTTTAATACTTGACGTGCTGTTGGAGTGTGAGCAAAGTAACATTTATGAAGGGATTCAGGGAAACCGGCAGGCCGGACTTGAGTCCTGGAGATGGGAAGTACAGTGCCTGCACTCTGAAGGAGGGGTGTTAATGTTGCAGTTTAAAAACTGTAGTGTAGAGCACCCTTCTGGCAAGACAGTGATGGAGTGAATGATGGTGAAAGTTTTTCTTTTTCGGGCCACCCTGCCTTGGTGGGAATCGGCCAGTGTGATAATAATAATAAAAAAAAAAATGTATGAAAGAGGAGAAGGTACCTAGGGATTGGCAGAGAGCATGTATAGTCTCTTTATATAAAGGGAAGGGGGACAAAAGAGATTGTAAAAATTATAGAGGAATAAGTTTACTGAGTATACCAGGAAAAGTGTACGGTAGGGTTATTATTGAAAGAATTAGAGGTAAGACAGAATGTAGGATTGCGGATGAGCAAGGAGATTTTAGAGTGGGTAGAGGATGTGTAGATCAAGTGTTTACATTGAAGCATATATGTGAACAGAATTTAGATAAAGGTAGGGAAGTTTTTATTGCATTTATGGACTTAGAAAAGGCATAGGATAGAGTGGATAGGGGAGCCATGTGGCAGATGTTGCAAGTACATATGGAATATGTGATAAGTTACTAAATGCCATAAAGAGTTTTTATGAGGATGGTGAGGCTCAGGTTAGGGTGTGTAGAAGAGAGGGAGACTACTTCCCGGTAAAAGTAGGTCTTAGACAGGGATGTGTAATGTCACCATGGTTGTTTAATATATTTATAGATGGGGTTGTAAAAGAAGTAAATGCAAGGGTGTTCGGGAGAGGGGTGGGATTAAATTATGGGGAATTAAATACAAAATGGGAATTGACAGTTACTTTTTGCTGATGATACTGTGCTTATGGGCGATTCTAAAGAAAAATTGCAAAGGTTAGTGGACGAGTTTGGGAGTGTGTGTAAAGGTAGAAAGTTGAAAGTGAACATAGAATAGAGTAAGGTGATGAGGGTATCAAATGATTTAGATAAAGAAAAATTGGATATCAAATTGGGGAGGAGGAGTATGGAAGAAGTGAATGTTTTCAGATATTTGAGAGTTGACGTGTCAGCAGATGGATTTATGAAGGATGAGGTTAATCATAGAATTGATGAAGGAAAAAAGGATGAGTGGTGCATTGAGGTATATGTGGAGACAAAAAACGTTATCTATGGAGGCAAAGAAGGGAATGTATGAAAGTATGGTAGTACCAACACTCTTATATGGGTGTGAAGATTGGGTTGTAAATACTGCAGTGAGGAGGTGGTTGGAGGCAGTGGAGATGTCCTGTCTAAGGGCAATGTGTGGTGTAAATATTTTGCGGAAAATTCGGAGAGTGGAAATTAGGAGGTGTGGAGTTAATAAAAGTATTAGTCAGAGGGCTGAAGAGGGGTTGTTTAAGTGGTTTGGTCATTTAGAGAGAATGGATCAAAGTAGAATGACATGGAGAGCATATAAATCTGTAGGGGAAGGAAGGTGGGGTAGGGGTCGTCCTTGAAAATGTTGGAGGGAGGGGGTAAAGGAGGTTTAGTGGACAAGAGGCTTGGACTTCCAGCAAGCATGCGTGAGCGTGTTAGATAGGAGCGAATGGAGACGAATGGTATTTGGGAGCTGACGAGCTGTTGGAGTGTGAGCAGGGTAATATTTAGTGAAGGGATTCAGGGAAACCGGTTATTTTTATATAGCTGGACTTGGGTCCTGGAAATGGGAAGTACAGTGCCTGCACTTTAACCCTTTCAGGGTCCACAGGCCCTCTCAAAGACTTGTTCTCATGGTCCCCCAAATTTCAAAAAAAAAAAAAAAAAAAAAAAAAGTTTTTTCTTATGAAAAATCAGAGAAATTTTTCCCGATCATAATGACACCAAAAGTATGAAATTTGATGGAAAACTTATGGAATTATGCTCTCGCGAAGTTAGCGGTCTCGACGATGTTTACGCATCGGCGATTTTGCCCACTTTGAGCCCTATTTTCAGCCAGTTCCAGTGTACTAGTCCACAAAAATCATAACTATTTCGCTAGAACTCCATTTTTTCTATCGATGAGTGCAAGAAACCACCAATTTACTGATTTCAACTATCCAATACAATGGTCAGAATTTAGAAATTTTGCCAATTTCACACAAATTTCAAAAGATGCCAATTTCCAAATAGGGTCCAGAATAAACAAGAAAGACATTCCTGGCACTAAAATAACATTTCCTCTGTTCATTAGTCACGTCCCCAGGCCCCTCTTACATTTCTTTTGCTTTCCACTTTGAATTTTTATTCTCACAAAAAAATAAGATTTACTGTTATGCAGACTACTGCATTAGTGTAGAAATGGTATAAATATTATCGGCGCACTTGTGAAAGAATATTAGACTCACCAGTTGACGTGTATTGGACGCTTAGCATGATTTGTTTACTTTTGAACTTTGGTAAAAATCGAACATTTCTGCTACTTTGAGCTCAATTTCAAGGTACTTTTCATTGTAAAACCAGTCAAAATCATCTCAATTTCTCTAATATGTCTTCCATTCTATACAATGAGACCAGGAAAACTAGAATACAACAATAAATACCATGCGAAAATATAGTGCAAAGTCACTGTTTTAATCCAAAAACACAGTCAAAGATTTTTTTTTTCTCATTACGCACTGTGTGCTGCAGGATTTTTTTTATACTGCTCACACTGACCACATAGACCCATTCTTTCATATGTAGGCTTACCAGCTTTCTCTCACTAGATTTGAAGGCGCTAGAATTTATGCATACTAGTACGTCATGGACACTGGTGCGTAAGCCGTACTAGTATGGCCGAAACCCTGAAAGGGTTAAAGGAGGGGTTTGGGATATTGGCAGTTTGGAGGGATATGTTGTGTATCTTTATACGTATATGCTTCTAAACTGTTGTATTCTGAGCACCTCTGCAAAAAAGCGATTATGTGTGAGTGAGGTGAAAGTGTTGAATGATAATGAAAGTATTTTCTTTTGGGGGATTTTCTTTCTTTTTGGGTCACCCTGCCTCGGTGGGAGACGGCCGACTTGTTAAAAAAAAAAAGTATTTATAATTGTTTTGTGTTTGTAAAATCATATTCTTTAAAAAATGTATTTTATTTTATTTTATTTTTTTTTTTTTTTGGGGGGGGGGGGACATCTGGAATGGATTAATTGTATTTACATTATTTCTTATGAAAATATTGCTTTGACTTTTAAACAATTTGAGATTCGGCCGAGCTTCTGGAACGGATTATGGCCAAAACTCAAGGTTCCACTATAATAACATTTTTTTTTTAGCACCAACAGAGAGAACAAGGAATCACTGTTGCAAATTTAGAATATGGTCCAAAAAGGTTACCTCTAGTGATATATTAAGTTTTTCATGGAGTGCTAGAATATGAGCTGAGATACAGAAGGTATTATGTGCTACAACCAATAGCATTTTTAAAAAACTAATATTAAACACAAAAGATGAGACACTACAAACATATATCTCTTTCTCTAACTGTAAATATATAATCACCACAATTTCATACTTATTAATTTATATTTTTCCTTTTAAAAAATGGAGCATTTCATGCACAAAGCACCCCTTATTCCATTCATATGTTTATTCAGTTGTAGTTATTGAACTCAAACTGCCATCAGTTAATCAGTGTATTTTATACACTATAAGGCTGTATTAGCATTGAGATGGCCACTAATTGGTCTCATCACACATTATGCTTCTAGAGTCCAGTGCTGTATGACCCTTGTGGGTTTAGTGCTTGGTTTTGGTTATAGTAATTTACTTCTCTACCTACTTATCTCTTCAACTACATGCTTTTTAATGCACTTCTGAATGTTTTTCCTTAATTTCCTTTGTCTTTTAGGGTCCATTTTTATCTTAATACTTAACACACTGAACAGTAGTGAAAGTCAGTGTTAATACTTATGAATGGTAAAAACTGATACAAAATAATTATTATAGACATGTTGACAGTAAGTCTGACTTTCCTCCCTCCAAGGGAGCCACTTTGATACTGGTGAAGGTCTCTTGATGAAAAGAATTGGAACTACCCTCCCTTTCCATCCCCCATCTCTGTATGACCCCAACAGGTTTAGTGCTCCCCCTTGAATGTAATAATAATGGTATAGGTAAGTCATGAGTTCCAGAGGACCCTCTAATTGAATTATCTGGATGTGCATGTTTTTAAAATGGGGAGATATGTCAGATCATTATTAAGTGGAGAGTAAGAAGTAAATGAAGTACAAAGTAACAGGGGTAAGATATAAGCAACTAATTGGGAAAAAGGTGGACTTGAGAGAGTAACGGTAATGAAATGAAGGTTAAAGAAGCATGGGGTAGCTCGAAGAATGGAGTGCTTAACTACATAACAGAAGTTTGCAGATATACAAGGGTGGGTGTGGGTGAGAGGATTGGTGGAATGATGAGAAAAAAAAGGGGGTGGTAATGGAGAAAGTTAGCATTCAGTAGGATTTTGTAGTGCAGAAGTGGTATATAGAGTGAGAAAGGAGAGACTAAAAGAGTGGTGAGTGCAAAAGAAGAGTCAGTGAAAGAATAGGTGAGGCCTTACCCGCTAATTTTACTGAGAATAAAAACCAATTTTGGAGGGAGACTCGGATGATAAATTTTTATGATCAAATTAAGTGTTAAGCCCTTAAGGATCATACAGCACTGAGGGGAGGGATGTGCAAAAGAAGAATGTGGAAAGGTTAAGGGTGTGTAAAGTTCAGGGTTTGAGTTGAGAAAACATGGGGTAAATTGAATGTTGAACTAGAGGGATTAGGAAGATGAGAATATTTTCAGGAGCCATTAAATGTTGATGAAGGAGGGAAGGCAGTAATTTCATGCACTGGACAGAGAGGAATACCATAATATAATATTTAACATTCTTAAACATGGGGGTTATAAAAAGAGTTGAATGCTAGGATGTTGGGAGGGGTGGGTTTAAAAGATACCGGTAATGACTAATAGTGTTGTCACAGTTGCTCTCTAACAATGACACAATTCTTTTGGGAGATTCTGAGGTTGCAAAGTTTGGTGGATGAATTTAGGAGGGTATATACAGTAGAACCTTGACTTACAAGTGTCCCAACCTATGAGTTTTTTGAGATACGAGCCATCCCTGGGTCGATTTTTTGCTCTGAGTTATGTGCCAACATTTGAGTTAAGAGCCAGCTCCCCCTGCTTCCCCATCAACCCAAAACCTGGACACCTCGCTTATTTATCTATGATTTCATGCTTTAATTCTATGGAAATCATCATCTTTTTCTTCTCAGCACTGTCCTTTACACTTATTTTCTTAGAACCCATGCTTAGGAAAACAAAATTTGGCCAAATGACTGTCAAAAATGTAAGCAGAGCATGAGAGAACTGCTCCCACGGTGAGGTAAACAGTGCACTGAGTTGGCAGCATTCGTTATCATTTTAATAATAATAATTATTATTATTAGTAGTACTGTGGTAATAGTATAGTAGTATTATTATTAATTAATTGAGGTAACTACTGCACAAATCCAATTCCCTAGATCAAGAGCCCCTCACCAGCTTCAAGGTTCCTTGATGCTGGTGAGGGGCTCTTGATCTAGGGAATTGGATCTGTGCTCCAGTTCCCTAAATTAATAATAATAATAATAATAAAAATACATACATAATAATAATTCAGAATGCTGCCGCTAGTTGGCACAGCTGATGTCAAAATATCCGGTAAGCAGTGCACATGTTTACATTGCTCTGGGAGCCTCTCTCTCATGCTTGCTTGCATTTTTTTAGTCATTTGGCCAAATTTCTTTTTCTAACCATGGGTCCTAAGAAAATAACTGCAAAGGACAGTGCTGAGAAGAAAAAGACGATGATTTCCACGGACTTAGCCATGCAATACCAGCTTAGTACATCTATGATATGTAGATACTAAAGGTGTATCAATTATGTTCAGTGATTAAACAAAACAAATTGTATCACTTAAGTTCAGTGATTAAACAATGTTGTTGTTGGAGGTTTACAGGGCCACTGACATCATACGCCACGGCCTCAACATCCCCCACCTCCACCACTATTTCTGCTCCAAGTGTGTAAATACACTTCATATAATCAGTTTAATATTTCTTTACATTCTGTAGTGTATTATGATTTATGTTTATTATACGGTATTTCTGCAGTTAGCCTCACAAATACTCCGTTTTCTCTTACAATAAGAGCATGGGAAGATACTATAGTCAAAGTTTCAGGCAATGGTGGATGCTTCCGCCGCTGCCTCTGCCACCAATATTATGGCCTATTTTATTCATTCTTGAGTATATATCATGTTTCTGTTAATTATATTGTTTATTATGTCATAATAGTAGATGCATTGTGATAGATAAGCCGTACATTTGATATTAGCATTATATTCAAGTATTTTGTCTTCTCTCCAGAGTGCAGGAATGGATTAATGACTTTTCAATTAATTTAAATGAGGAAAATTGATTTGATATACGAGTAATAATGTTGGTAGAATTACCGACAATATGTAAAGTAAAAGGACACAAGTGCAACTAATGTGACATTTTATTGTGGCAACGTTTCGCACTAATCGCTGTTTCGAATACAAATAAAAACAAAGGCAGCTTCACCATCTCTGAAGTCTTAGCAAGAATCCTCCTGAAAACAGTAAACCCTGCCGTCACATAGTCTCTCCTCTTAATACTACACAAAGCACATTACAGAGAGTGAACACTGAAACAGGCCTTCCAGTCTATATTTGTCTAACCTATTTTTATGTTACCCAAGTAATAGCTTTTATATCCTTTTACTCATGTATGAGTTAATTGCTCTACCCTATTGTATTACTACTACTACTACAACTTATGTCACTACTACTACTACCTCTAGTATTGCACCTCACTCTGAGCCTATATATACCCTCTGTGTCCATGTACTGTTTGTAACGGCTTGACAAAGCTCCTGGAGAGCGAAACGTTGCCACAATAAAATGTCACATTAGTTGCACTTGTGTCCTTTTACTTTAGATATACGAGTAAATTGAGTTACGCGCTAGGTCACGGAACGGATTAAACTCGTAAGTCAAGGTTCCACTGTACAAGGAAACTGAAAGAGAACATAGAAAAGAGCAAGGTGATGAGAACAAAAAATCTAAGCAATGAAATATTATATATATTGGAGGGAGGAAGAATGGAGAAAGTGATTGTATTTAGATATTTGGGAAAGGACATTTTGGCAGATGAGTATGAAAAAGTTAACTTTACCTACCTCTTTCATCTTATCAGTTCTAATGTATGCTGAGGCATCTGTGAAAAGTTATGGAGGGAAAATGTAAGAGTATAGTGATACCAACATTTTTATGTGGGTGAGGTATGGGTTCTAAACATTACTGTAGTGAGGAAGCTAGAGGTAGTGGAGGTGTTTTTGAGAGCAATGTTTGGTGTGAGCATTATGCAGAATTCGAAGCATAGAAATTAGTCGATGGTGTAGTTACCAAAGATATAATTTAGAGGGATGAAAAGGGGTTACTGAGGTGGTTTGGATATTGAGAGAGAATGGAGAAAAACAGAATGACCAAGAGGGTGTATAAATATCAGGTTGGAGGGAAGGAAGGTAGAGGTAAAGGAGGTTTTGATTGTTAAAGGCTGTATAGTCCTTGTGGCTTAGCGCTTCTTTTTTGATTATAATAATAATGATTGTTAAAGGCTTGAGCATTCAGCTGACTTGTTTGTGTGTTTTAGATTGGAGTGGAAACAAAAATTCTTTATGGCTGGACTTTCTGTTGGAGTGTAAGCAAGGTAACATCAAGGGATTCAGGAAAAACCAGTTAGCTAGCCTAGAGTCCTGGAGGTGAAAACAGGAGTGGCACCAGAATTTACATAGTTGTGGGAGGGGCTTGGGGATGGCTATCTGGTTGGAGGGAGGGGGCTAGGACACCTGTTTCAAAGCAATGTTATTATTATTACTTCTTCCCTTGGTAACTTCCCTGGGTAGGAAGTACAGTGCCTACACTCGGAAGAAGGGGTGGGGATGATGTAGTTTGGAGGGTAATTTCAACTGTGGTGTCTGCACTTTTGGCACAGCTGTTGAATGAATGATGGTGAATGTGTTTGCTCTTTTGGGTCATCTCAGGTTTAGTACTTAGTCTGATTATATTATTATTTTGGATCATCCTACTTTAGTGGGAGGTAGCTGACATGTTCAGAAAAAATGGTGGGATAAAGTCAGTTTTGAACTAGCATGAAAAAAAAATCACAGTTGTTCGCTTTGCTTGATGAACACACTTATTCATACATAATTTTATTTACTAATGGCAGGGAGGGGGAAAATGAATACAAAGTCTTGTATTGTTAAACTGCAGTGTCAGTGAATAAAAGCACTTTGTATAATAGAAAATAGTACACCTTTTACAAAAAATCACATAACTCTTTAAATAATCCTTTTACAAATATTGGATGATAGACTGTAGAAAATAAGAGGACCACGATCAATCTTCTTCCTGGGAAATATTTTGCGGTGGAGCAATTTGCAGATTTCCTCGATGTAGTCCTTTTGCTCTGGAAATCTGAGGGCCAAATAATATTCTGTGACAACTCAGATCAAATAGTAATCTTATATTTATGTAAATGGTATCAGAAGTTATTTGCTAAAGGAAATTAGTTTATTAGGTTTAAGGTGAATCTGATTGCAGCCTTACTAATCTTAGTGTCATTTAAATAGAAAATTGACATCACAGATACTTTAATCTTTATACAGGAGGGCCTTGCTTTACAGTGATTTGCTAATATAGCAGTTTTTAATTATACCCATTCTTCATACAATACATTCACCACTAAAATATTTTTGTCCTTAGCTTATAGTAAGTAATGTAGGTACTGTATATGCATTTTTTAGGCCTAGTTCTACTGCTCACTTGTGCTCCAGTTCCCCGAATTAAGCCTGAATGCCTTCCACATCCCCCCCCCCCCAGGCGCTGTATAATCCTCTGGGTTTAGCGCTTCCCCCTTGATTATAATAATAATAATCTACTGCTCACTTAATATATGATGGTGTAAACATGTTATCAGGCTTTTATATGCATTTAAAAGTGAAAAAAAGATTCACTTTACAACAATAACTGGGAACCTAACCTGCTGTATAAACAGGGCATTCAGATATTTATTAATTCACAAAATGTGATTATGGTACCATAATTACAGTAACTGCAAACAAGACAGAAAAAGTTTGCTTATTCACAGGTTATGAAATCCATTCTTACCTTGAAGCATTGGCATATGAATACATTTAACACAACATCCATTTTTCACCAAGGCAGGGTGGCCTAAAGAAGAAAACACATTCACCTACATTTGCTCAAGTGCTGACATCACAATCAGGTTACAGTACCCCTCTGACTGCAACATCCCCATCCCTCCTTCAAGGTGCAGGCACTGCCCTTCCCACTTCCAGGAGTCAAGTCTAGCTAACAGTTTCCATGAATCTCTTCATTCAAGTTACCCCTCTCACACTCCAACAGCATGTTCATTAATAATTCACTTGTCTCTATTCACTCCTAATCCTCCACACACACAAGCCTGCTGCTTTGGGCAGTGAATGGGTTAATTATTCCCCTCATTTATTCTATTATTGACTTCATCTTTCATAGACTCATCAGCCAACATAGCCAAATTTCTGAATGCACTCACTTCCTCCCTTCCAACATGATGTCCAATCTCTCATCAAACCCAGACCCTTGGTGTGTGAAGCAAGAGTTTTGCCACCAGGCCATGAGCCTGGTCTCACTAAAATCGGTATATGCAGCACATGTGTTGTACTCATGCCTTTTCTAAAATAACCACTTGTTTTTTTAAGGTCCTAAAAAAAAAAAAAAAGAGCTACAAAATGACTACCAACAGCTGAATAATGAATTAGACCTGATCTCTCTTTCCTTGAGTCGAGACTGATTGCCTCCCCAAACTAAACCTAATGAAACACCACTGCAACCCACTGACACAGCTAACAAGATAAACGACTTCTTCTCAACCATAGGTTCTAATCTCGCCAATAAAATCCCACGTGCCAATGCCCATGCCGGGGGCTACCTAGATGGGAATTTCCCAAATTCCTTCTATCTTGCTCCAACTGAGCCCACGGAAGTCACCGAGATTATAAAGTCACTTAAAAATAACTCGGGGAATCTGTCTCATGTCCCACCATTATTGTACAAGAGAGCGGCCCATGTCCTCTCGCATACTATCTCATTACTTTCTAACAAGTCACTAGAAACTAGCACCTTCTCGAAACTACTCAAGACGGCAAGGGTTACACCAATACATAAAGGTGGTGACCCTACAGATTTAAACAACTATAGGCCAATATCAAACTTACCATTGCTATCCAAAATCTTTGAGAAACTCGTGCACAGGAGACTATATTCATTTATAACGGCACAAAACATACTCAACCCCTGCCAATTTGGATTCAGGAAAAATAAAAGCACTAACGATGCAATCATAAAAATGCTAGATCTGCTTTACACAGCATTGGAAAATAAAGAATATCCACTAGGAATTTTTATAGACCTAAGACCCCTCATGGAAGGTTCCTTGATGTTGGTGAGGGGCTCTTGATTTAGGGAATTGGATCTGTGCTCCAGTTCCCCGAATATAGCCTGAATGCCTTCCACATCCCCCTTCCCCTGGGCGCTGTATAATCCTATGAGTTTAGCGCTTCCCCCTTGATTATAATAATAATAATTGACCTAAGAAAAGCTTTTGACACAGTAGACCACAGCATCCTACTCCACAAACTTGACCATTATGGTATAAGAGGCCATGCACTTGCATATTTCAAATCTTACCTTACTAATAGGTATCAGTATGTCACCATTAAAGACACAGCATCAACAACACAGCCACTTGATACTGGAGTTCCGCAGGGAAGTGTCCTTGGTCCCCTGCTCTTCCTCATATACATCAATGATCTTCCAAACATATCTCAATACCTGAACCCCATTCTCTTTGCTGACGACACGACTTATGTCATCTCTCACCCTAATATTGCCACCCTCAACACCATTGTTAATGAGGAGCTGATCAAAATATCGACTTGGATGACACCCAATAAACTTACGCCTAACGCTGACAAAATCTACTACATTATGTTTGCGCATCTCCTGCTCTGCTACCAAATTAACATTAAGATCGACAACACACTAACTGCCAGGCATAATGAGGGCAAATTCCTAGGCCTATACCTTGACAACAACCTGAACTTCAGCACCCATATCCAACACATAACCAAAAAAGTATCCAAAACGGTTGGGATTCTCTCCAAGATACGGTACTACGTGCCGCAAACTTCCCTTCTCACATTATACCATTCACTTATATATTCATACCTCACCTATGCTATCTGTGCTTGGGGTTCAACTGCAGCAACACACTTAAAGCCAATAATAACCCAACAAAAAGCCGCAGTAAGAATAATCACTAAATCCCATCCCTGGCAACACACCCCCCCACTCTTCATAGATCTAAACTTACTCCCTGTTCAGTACATCCACACTTACTACTGTGCAATCTACATCTACAGGACCTTGAATTCCAATATTAACCTTGACCTAAAACTCTTTCTTGATAGTTGTGACAGAACCCACAGGCACAACACCAGACACAAACATCTCTATGACATTCCCCGTGTCTGACTAAACCTTTACAAAAATTCAATGTATGTCAAAGGCCCTAAAATCTGGAACACCCTACCTGAAAATTCTAAAACTGCAGACACATTCATCACCTTCAAAACTACCATCAGAAAACATCTTATCTCCCTGATACACCCTGTCAACTAATTATACGAATACCACCTGGTGGTTTACACTTACACTCACTCACCCACTTGACCATAAACAAAAATATCAATATCAATCTCAATCTCAAAATAATGAATCTTAACTAGTCATAAGTTGGCCTGTGATACTCCAATACTGAAACTATGTATAGTGCCAAAACAAAAGCATTCACATTGCTAAACTCACAAACTAGTATTTAGTCACTTAGCCATAATACCAACTTACCTCATAATTTTGTAATATTTTAAACTTAAGATTTAATCTAAGTCTGCCCGAAATGCCTAGCCATGCTAGGTGTTCTAGTGGTACACTCTGTAATTATTATTTTACTACATGTAAACCACACAATAACCAAATTCAGTAAACTCAGCATTGTAATCCTTATAGAGAATAAACTTTGAATCTGAATTCAGCTGCTGTACAACCCCCAATGGATGAAGCACTCCCCATGAATATAACAATGATAATGTTAACACCGGAGCTGCCCATGCTACCTGATACTAGGAAAATAGAGAAGACATGATCACAATATATAAGGGCATAAATATATAGATAAAGTAGACTTCTTAATGCCTTCAATATAAACAAGAAGAAGAAGCCACAGTTATATACTGAGGAAAAATAAGTGGAGCTGAATGGATAATTTTTTTTTTTCTAAACAACGTGATAGACCAGGAAAATGAACTGAAAGAGGAAGTAGCAAATGCCCCAACCACTGAAAATTTTAAACAATTATATGTTGAAAGAAATGGTGAAGAGGGGACACATAAGCATATGTCTACTCCTGTAGCTGCAAATACTTAATTGCAAATAAGGAACTGTAAATGTGCACACGTGCATGTACACCACCCCCTACCGAACACTCTTGAATATTTTGAAAAAAAAAAATTAGAGGGCAATTTTCTGTGTGTAATAAGACCAAAAAAAAAATTTTAGGTCAGTACTTACCATGATATAAGGCCACAAAGTTGGCGCTATGACTATTTGCTCACTCAAATAGTCATAAACATACTGACAGGTGAACATTTTCACCTGACTTGGTCACATACTACTGTCTAGAAATATATATGAAGTATTTATAGGTCCCAGCAATGTTTTAGACATGATGGAGTATATATGAAACCCTGCTCACAGTGCAGCAGTGCAGTGAAACTTGATTGTGCATTATCTGTTTGTCTATTTGTCTGTGTCTGTCTGTTTCAGAGAGAGCTGCTCATAAACCAACAGGTAGTACACACAATACAGAGTCATGTCTGATTTCTGAACAAGTGAAAATGCATATTACTTGCCCGTCATGCTTATTATGCCTTATATCTACAAGCACAGTGCAGCACTTTGGATTTTTTGGGTTATCCTACATAATGTATAATTGTATTTATGTGTAGCTGTGAGACAGAGACAGCCAAAGTCAATCAGACACCTACCCACCCAGCCTGCCGAACACGTATTACACATGTTCCAGAATTGTTTCTTTTTATTTAGGGCATAGGTTATAGGACATTCTGACAAGATGACACTACCACTGGTCTCAATATTGAAAGGATGTTGCACAAATGTTGCATACAAGTTATTACTGAGGTTTTTGATATTTCCTCGACCACTTGTGGCCACATCCATCTCAAAGCCCCTAAACTCAGGGTCAACATCACTGTCCTCTTAAAAGGGGAGTGCTAGTATGACATGACATCAGTGAATCCCTGGTGTTTGTCACACTATGCTCTAGCTGGCATTCAATTGAATTGGTGCTCCCACAGGTACTAAGTGGTCCCAGTTTTTTTTTTTTTAGTACTGCACACACTGTATTAAGACCCATTCTATAGTGACCAGGCATCTCAGGCCAATCGTGCCAAATTTGGAGGCAGGAAAAATAAAACATTGATGTACATTTGGAGTGCTAGCAGTAAGAATGTAGATCTACGTTTGGACAGTTAAGGGGTTAACAAACTTAATTTTTCACTCCACATTATGAATCTTGCAATATCATTACAAAATAAATGTTGAATTACTTACAAAGCTTTTATATCACTGACAGTTTCATTAAAACTCTTGGCAGTGGTGTCTGTATCCAAGGCCCCAAGCGCTAGTACAGCTTTCTTGTCAAGTTCTACTGCCAAGACTTCTACAGTTGTGTTTGGTCCAAGGCTTGGCCAACGAGAGGTGAGAGCCATCAGCACATCTTTATTGATCTAAAAAGAAACCTTTGAAGGTCAGTCATTGTTTATCTATACTTCACAAATTTTAGATTCAAGGAACTACTTGGATGTGCCTACTGTACTTTGCCATAAAAGTATACCTTATTTAGTAAAAAAGATAATCAACACCATTGTAAGCAACATTCTGATAAATTTATTATGTGACAAATGCTTCAGTAAATGATTAATACAGTATTGTATATTGACATATTTCAAAGTCTATTTCCTCAGACTTCCCTTTATTGCAACAGAGAATCTTCAAGCATTTCATACAGTGACTTTTCCCTTATTACACCTGTTATATAGCAAGGAGGTAAAACATATTACCTATGCAACCTAAGAGGGTTGTTTGGGGTCAAACTGGAAACTAAAAGGTAATGATCAGGGACAGAAGCTATGACTCAATCCCTGCAAGTGATTTCTTCTATTAGCTAAATGTCAGGAGCATCATTTTGTCACATAGCGATACAGTGGAACCTCAAAAATCAAACTGCTCCCAACACAACCAATTATGTAAGTGTATTTTTGTAAGTGCTTTTATAAGTGTATTTTTGAGGGTCTGAAATGGACTAACCTAATTTACATTATTCCTCATGGTAATAAATTCATTTGGTAAAGGCACTCAAACAGCCTTCTGGGCCAAAGAAAGTTCGATATTTGAGGTTCCACTGTAATTGTAAAAGTTCCATTGCTGGTCTGAAGCTGTTATTTCTCTGGTAAAAAAAAAAGAATCTAACCTTGTGTATTATCTATACCCTGCAGTATTTTTGTATGTTATGGTATTAACTCTTTCTCTTCTCATGCATGAGTCTGAATATACAGTGGACCCTCGCCTAACGAATGCATCGCATAACGTTAAATCCGCCTAGCGATGCATTTTAACGCAAAAATTTTGCCTCGGCTAGCACTAAAAAACTCGCCCAATGCGATTCGTTCCGTTCGAGATGCATCCACGTGTGGCCTGAGCACGCCTCACTTGTCCCGTGGGTGCCAGTGTTTACAAGCCAGCCACCGCGGTCGCATCCAAACATACGATCGGAACATTTCATATTATCACATTGCTTTTAGTGATTGCACCTGCAAAATAAGTCACCATGGGCCCCAAGAAAGCTTCTAGTGCCAACCCTGTGATAAAAAGGGTGAGAATTAGTATGGAAATTAAGAAAGATTTTGAAGGGTTTGGGGCTAACCCTGAGATGCCTATGCCAGTTGTGGAATCCATTGTGCCTACTTCAAAGATTAAGGAAATGTGTGCAAAGTGGGTTGAACTGCAAACCTTTATGGATGAAAATCACCCTAACACAGCTATTGCAAGCCGTGCTGGTGACTATTACAATGACAATGTTATGGCCCATTTTAGACAAATCTTAAAGGAACGGGAGGTACAGAGCTCTATGGATAGATATGTTGTGCGACAGAGGTCCAGTGACTCTCAAGCTGGTCCTAGTGGCATTAAAAGAAGAAGGGAAGTAACCCTGGAAAAGGATTTGACACCTCAAGTCCTAATGGAAGGGGATTCCCCTTCTAAACATTAACACCATCCACACTCTCCCCTCCTCCCATCCCATCAATCATCACCAGATCTTCAATGAAGGTAAGTGTCATGTAATTGTACATGTCTTCTTCAGTTTGTGTGTATTAAAATTAATATTTCATGTGGTAATTTTTTTTTTTCATACTTTGGGGTGTCAGGAACGGATTAATTTGATTTCCATTATTTCTTATGGGGAAAATTAATTCGGCTAACGATAATTTCGCCTAACATTGAGCTCTCAGGAATGGATTAATATCGTTAGGCGAGGGTCCACTGTAATTTCATTGGATCTTCTGAAGTTTCATTTATGTTTGTTTGAAAAGGTGATGCTGTATGTCCAAAAATTGACATGAAACCTAAGTAGATTCTTGCATACCATCCTTATATTTGGAAAACTGATCAGTCAGATTTGTGTTCTGGAAGTAGGAAGTAGAGCCTTCACTATGAAGAAGGGATGAGGATTCTTCAGGTCAGAAGGTCATCTGAACTGTGATGTCCATGCACTTCTGGCAAGACTGTTTTTAGGTAACTGACTGTGAATGTTTTGTTTTTTGGTCATCTTGCCTTAGTAGGAAATGGCTGTGCCTATGGGATGAAGCTCCAGTTCCTGGCAGTGCCTCTTAATGACTGTCATAGTTGGTCTCATCCTGGATTTTGTCATATCTATTTTTGAATTCTTCTGTGGTATACTTGGAGTATACTTGAAGAGGGTTTCAGAGGTCAATGCCCCTGCAGTTCAGTCTGAGACCAGGCCTCATGGTGGATCACAGTCTGAACAACCAGGCTGTTACTGCTGGCCACATGCAAACTGATGTACGAACCACAGCCTGGCTGGTCAAGTACTGACTTTAGATGTCTGTCTAGTACCTTCTTGAAGACAGCCAAGGGTCTATTGGTAATCCCCCTTATGTATGCTGGGAGGCAGTTGAACAGTCTTGGGCCCTTGACACTTATTGCATTGTCTCTCAGTGTACTTGCAGCACCCCTGCTTTTCGTTGGGGGAATGTTGCATCTCTTGTCGAGTCTTTTGCTTTCCTGTAACTCATTCTGCTTTTAACTTCTCTTATACTGAAGATATAGTCTTTGGATTTCACATTGGCAGGTAGTAACTTTGTCTACATTTATTAATAATTCAATACAATGTATAAGTATTAGTGACTGAAAACTATTAGCAAGTCATACAGGATACCAGTAATGACAAATAGGTAATCACCAACCTGCTGATCCACCTTGGGAACATCTCTCCACTTGGCAGCATCTTTACATTTGGCTTGCTTCTTTGTTATGTATTGAATGTTTAGTTGGTAATCTTCTTGGTTAACACCTGAAGAAAAAAAGAAAGAAAAACAACTCTTGAGAATTACAATAATATGATAACCCATATATTCCCAATATAACATCTCATCCCGTTTATAAATTTTACACGTGGTTGTAAATGGTATGGTGATACTGACAAACTTTGGAAAAGGACATTAGTGTATAGTTCAGGATATTCATTAAAGGAAAAGTTTCAGCATGAATGTCTTCATTAGTTCTAATATAGAGGAGGCTAAAGCAGGTTAATATATAGTAGACAGTGCAGGTGACCTGAAGGAAAAGTATGAGGTGAAGTGGGAGGTACATCAAACTGCACAAAATAAGTTGGACAAATATATAAGTGAGAGGTTGGATTTCAGCAGGACACTGTCTATCATGAGCCAGTATGCCTACTGCATTGCTTCTCCATATTCAGTGTGTCCACGTGATGTCAGATCCTGGTAACAACAATGGTCCATGTTGGACCACAAAAAAATTTCTGTCAAACAACATTTGGATGTCTGGTCATCTTCTTCCCACTGTTGTCGTGTTTGGGAGACTGCATGGTTTAGCGCTCCTTTTTGATTATAATAATAATAATGTATGGGCCACATATGCCTCACTCATGGACATCTTGTGAAAAAATGCTTGCCACTGCTCTGCAAGGACTGTCAGGCTGCACTGTCAGTTTACCATGTCCTAATAGATGGTCTTATCTGCAGATATGCAAATTCACTTCCAATATCATCCCAATGCACTAACTCTTACTGACCTTGCTGAAAGTTCCATCTTCAATGCAGGCTCTTTCTTTTTAACAGAAACTAACTTATTGCATTAACCTTAATTTTAATTTACCTTTTCACTCTTCCCTACCTCCACTAACCCTTATCCCTCCTAACCTCTGCATATTCCTCTTTTAGCAGTTCCCTCCCTGCAGTGCTGTATGACCCTTTCAAGTTTAATGATAAAATCAAATTAATTATTACTGGGTCAGTAATTAATTTGATTTTATCACTAAATGTGGGGTTGGAAGTGTCTCAGATTTTGGAATTTTTTGGAGTTTGGAACAATGATAGCTTGGGAAGGTGACCCCAAGTCTAAACATGACATCCATTTAGATTTCATATACATCACATTCACATAACCTGAAGGTAGTTTTGTACAATATTTTTAATAAAGGCAGCACAGCAGCAGCATCAAGAGAATACAGTGGACCCCCGACTTACGATATTAATCCGTTCCAGAGAGCACATCACAAGACGAAATTATCGTAAGACAAATTAATTTTCCCCATAAAAAATTATGGAAATCAAATTAATCCATTCAAGACACCCAAAAGTATGACAAAAAAATATTTTTACCACATGAAATATACATTTTCCTACACACAATAAGAAGGATACATGCACAATATATATTGTGCATGTATTAGTGTACTAAATGAAGAATAAATGACACTTACCTTTATTGAAGATGTGGTGATGAGTGATGAGACACTGTGTCCTGGGAATGCCTTTTCCTCCTTAGTAATGTAGGTCCTGTTTGGCCCTATCACACTGTGTATGCCACTACGATTCTTAAATCTCTCAAGCCAACCTTTGCTGACCTTAAATTCACCAATATGAGCACTAGTTCCAGGCATTTTTTCCTGTTCACCTGGGTGTTAGTCGACTGGTGTGGGTCGCATCCTGGGGGACAAGATTAAGGATCCCAATGGAAATAAGTTAGACAGTCCTTGATGACACACTGACTTTCTTGGGTTATCCTGGGTGGCTAACCCTTTGGGGTTAATTGTTTCTTGGTATTCTTGATAAGCCACACCAACAACAGTCTCTCCACATCTTCAAGTAGTACAGCCGACATTAGTGCAGCAACAGCTGACCGTAGTGCAGCAGCAGCTGACGGTGGTACAATAGTATTTCTCACCCTTTTTACCACAGGGTTGGGTCCATGGTGGCTTAATTAGCAGTTAGAAGCACTGAAAACACTAGAAAATACAAAATTTATCGAATGTATGCATGCAACTGTCCGCCCTGACTTGTAAACAATGTCACACTAGCTCAGCTGAGGCACTTAGGCCAGATGGACCAGACGGCCGCGTTCGGGATGAATGATGTAAGTTGAGTTTTTCAACGTAGGTCGGGGTTAAATTTTTACGCTGACAAGCATCATAAGTCAGTCTTATCATAGGTTGAGGCCATCATAAGTCGGAGGTCCACTGTGCATACATTAGCTCTTCAAAATAACAAACAAAAAACAAAAGGGTAGGCCTCTAGTCTCCACCTATGATGCCATGTTACCCATAGGGGTGTCTGCAGGCCTTTTTGACATTTTAAACTATGTTTGCACTGCAAGAGCAGAGAATACTCACAAAGCACAAGGTAATCACAGTGAGTAATGCATGTAAGTCTGGCAGTGACAACTGTTGTTAGTAAACTGCCGCCAACAGCATATTACAACGCCACCCCAGGCTTTGTGAGGTCATGTGTCACAAATGTCTGGGTATGCAGACTTCTGCAATGCCTGGGAACCTCCCCAGACCCGACTACAATTTTCCATTTGTCATGTCAAATCAGCACTTGAAAAAAGTTTTCGATTTCAGAGCTTTTCGAATTTAAGATAACATGTACAATAGTCCCCCTGTGGGTAATACATTCCAAGATCTACTGCAGATAATAGTGAACCCTACATACATGTCGTTTTTCATTTACATACATACCTATGACAAAGTTTAATTGATAAATTATGCACCGTAAGACATTACCAATATTAAATAATAATAATATACAGTGTATATCATTATACAGTACTTCATGAATGGAAGATTCATTCTTGCCATAAATCTGAGCAACCTCCACATACAATTTTTTTTTATTGTATTAAGTCGAGAATTAGCACTTTGAAGAACTGCCATCATCACTACTTTTGCGTTTGGGAGCCATTATTAAGCAAAATTAAGGCTTATTTTTGAGCCATGGTAAACCATAGATAACTGAAACCACAGAAATCAAGGTTCTACTGTATTCAGCCTGTATTATTATTATTATTATTATTACAGTGGACTCCCCGGTCATCAGCTGTTCCTGTTATTGGCCAACTCGGTTACAGGTCGGTTTTTCGGCATCTGGTTACTGGCCATTATTTCAGCCGTATGGGATGCTGGGACGCGTCAACCTGCTACCATTCCAGCCAGTCTGGCTGTGCCTCTGGGAGAGACGTGTAAATTCTAGCGCCCTCAAATCAATTGGGAAAAGGCTGGTAGGTCTACATGTGATAGAATGGGTCTACATGGTAAGTGTGTGCAGTAAGAAAAAATCTAACCACCCACATTGTATTGTTTGTGGGAGTGGTAATTAATTCAATGCACCTTTGTCACCAAGCCAAGCGGTAAGGAATACCTCACACTCCGGCAGTGTGGGTGGTAGGGAAAGCAGGGAAGGCAGTGTGGGTGGTGGGGAAGGGAGTATGGGTTTGTGTAAACAACATGGCTGGCTGGCTGGCCAGCTGGCTATCACTGTCTCACAGGTAAACATAAATACAATTTGTTTTTTTTTTTATCACACTGGCCGATTCCCACCAAGGCAGGGTGGCCCGAAAAAGAAAAACTTTCACCATCATTCACTCCATCACTGTCTTGCCAGAAGGGTGCTTTACACTACAGTTTTTAAACTGCAACATTAACACCCCTCCTTCAGATTGCAGGCACTGTACTTCCCATCTCCAGGACTCAAGTCCGGCCTGCCGGTTTCCCTGAATCCCTTCATAAATGTTACTTTGCTCACACTCCAACAGCACGTCAAGTATTAAAGACCATTTGTCTCCATTCACTCCTATCAAACACGCTCACGCACACCTGCTGGAAGTCCAAGCCCCTCGCACACAAAACCTCCTTTACCCCCTCCCTCCAACCTTTCCTAGGCCGACCCCTACCCCGCCTTCCTTCCACTACAGACTGATACACTCTTGAAGTCATTCTGTTTCGCTCCATTCTCTTTACATGTCCGAACCACCTCAACAACCCTTCCTCAGCCCTCTGGACAACAGTTTTGGTAATCCCGCACCTCCTCCTAACTTCCAAACTACGAATTCTCTGCATTATATTCACACCACACATTGCCCTCAGACATGACATCTCCACTGCCTCCAGCCTTCTCCTCGCTGCAACATTCATCACCCATGCTTCACACCCATATAAGAGCGTTGGTAAAACTATACTCTCATACATTCCCCTCTTTGCCTCCAAGGACAAAGTTCTTTGTCTCCACAGACTCGTAAGTGCACCACACACCCTTTTCCCCTCATCAATTCTATGATTCACCTCATCCTTCATAGACCCATCCGCTGACACGTCCACTCCCAAATATCTGAATACATTCACCTCCTCCATACTCTCTCCCTCCAATCTGATATCCAATCTTTCATCACCTAATCTTTTTATCCTCATAACCTTACTCTTTCCTGTATTCACTTTTAATTTTCTTCTTTTGCACACCCTACCAAATTCATCCACCAATCTCTGCAACTTCTCTTCAGAATCTCCCAAGAGCACAGTGTCATCAGCAAAGAGCAACTGTGACAACTCCCACTTTATGTGTGATTCTTTATCTTTTAACTCCACGCCTCTAGCCAAGACCCTCGCATTTATTTCTCTTACAACCCCATCTATAAATATATTAAACAACCACGGTGACATCACACATCCTTGTCTAAGGCCTACTTTTACTGGGAAATAATTCCCTCTTTCCTACATACTCTAACTTGAGCCTCACTATCCTCGTAAAAACTCTTCACTGCTTTCAGTAACCTACCTCCTACACCATACACCTGCAACATCTGCCACATTGCCCCCCTATCCACCCTGTCATACGCCTTTTCCAAATCCATAAATGCCACAAAGACCTCTTTAGCCTTATCTAAATACTGTTCACTTCTATGTTTCACTGTAAACACCTGGTCCACACACCCCCTACCTTTCCTAAAGCCTCCTTGTTCATCTGCTATCCTATTCTCCGTATTACCTATAACTAAACCCCTTTCTATACAAAGTTCAATCAAAGGGCTCTCATTATCATTTACACCTGGCACCCCAAACTTACCTACCACACCCTCTCTAAAAGTTTCTCCTACTTTAGCATTCGGGTCCCCTACCACAATTACTCTCTCACTTGGTTCAAAGGTTCCTATACATTCACTTAACATCTCCCAAAATCTCTCTCTCTCTGTATTCCTCTCTTCTCCAGGTGCATACACGCTTATTATGACCCACTTCTCGCATCCAACCTTTACTTTAATCCACATAATTCTTGCATTTACACATTCATATTCTCTTTTCTCCTTCCATAACTGATCATTCAACATTACTGCTACCTCTTCCTTTGCTCTAACTCTTCAGATACTCCAGATTTAATCCCATTTATTTCCCCCACCGAAACTCCCCTACCCCCTTCAGCTTTGTTTCGCTTAGGGCCAGGACATCCAACTTCTTTTCACTCATAACATCAGCAATCATCTGTTTCTTGTCATCCGCACTACATCCACGCACATTCAAGCATCCCAGTTTTATAAAGTTTTTCTTCTTCTCTTTTTTAGTAAATGTCTACAGGAGAAGGGGTTACTAGCCCATTGCTCCCGGCATTTTAGTCGCCTCATACGACACGCATGGCTTACGGAGGAAAGATTCTTTTCCACTTCCCCATGGACAATAGAAGAACAAGAGCTATGTAGAAAAAGGAGAAAAACATAGATGTATGTATATATATATATATGCATGTGCATGTCTGTGAAGTGTGACCAAAGTGTAAGTTGGAGTAGCAAGATATCCCTGTTATCTAGCGTGTTTATGAGACATATAATAATAAGCGAGTTTCAGAACATCGCCACTAAGTGACAGCCAACACCACAACATCAACTGAGCTGTGCAATGTGTTTATGTCGCCTGGAAGCATTTTTGTGTTATTATTGCCAAATTTCTTTTTTCTAACCATGGATCCTAAGAAAGTAAGTGCAAAGGACAGTGCTGAGAAGAAAAAGAGGATGATGTCCATGGAATTACAGAATGAAATCATAGATAAACAAGTGAGGTGGTGGTGGCAGTAGGAGCTAGTAGCAAGTAGCCTATCTTCCACTCCACCTCCACCAGCGTACGTACACTTTATAACACCACTTTATATCTTTACATTCTCTATTATGTTTTTATACAATATTTCTTATTTATGAAACTAGTGCAGTTAGCCTCACAAACACTCCGTTTTATAATAAAAGCATGGGAAGATATAGTCGCGGGAGAGCGAATGGACGCCGGTGCCACCACTCGCCATATTATGGCCTATTTTATTCATTCTAGAGTATATATCATGTTTCTGTGTTAATTATATTGTTTATTATGTCATATTAGATGAATTATGATAGATAAATAAGCCATAGAGTTGTTATTAGCATTATATTGAAGCGTATTTTGTCATGCCTCCTGAGAGCAGGAATTCTGCTGGAACGGATTAATGGCATTTCACTTAATTTAAGTGAGGAAAATTAACTCAGCATACAAGCAGATCAGGATACAAGCAAGGTCACAGAACAGATTAAACTTGTAAGCCAAGATTCCACTGTATTTATAAAAGAAAATTAAAAAAATTACACGAATAAAAACTTGCCTGTAGTTTTGGAGTCAGACCGTGAAAAGTTACTTGATGGCCCTGCATCAGCTACTCCCATATTCTTTAAAATAAACTCGGGTACTTTTTCTAATAGGATCTTCCTTTCCAGGGTGCGGCCTGTAGGGTCACTACGTATCCTAATATCTGCTTTATCTGAGCTGGTCAGCATTACCAAGTTTGAGGCACGCAAGTCCTCCAATACCGTTTCTGCTTCCTTTTGGTTCTGTAAACATGCAATAAGTAATCTTACAATCCTAAGCTTTCCGCACTTTAGGAGATTGTTAGCATAACATAATATCCAAAAGTGTAGAAAGATTAGTTACAGAAGGATACTGTAACTCCCCTAGAAAAATGATCCAACAATGGAGAGGCATTACATGCTATAGAATGACTGGCCACACAGCTAGCTACATATTCATGTTCACATAGTTATTCTTCAATGCAAATACATTCATGACAATGTTTACATTGTCATTTTTTTTTAAATTATTGAGTTCTGTTATTATTTTTAAGTTCTGGTAGAGATGACAAATATCAGATATCAATTACACCAAGTAACTGTTGAATTAATGTACTATGTACAGTATATGTGAGCAGAAGCAAGTATTTTGATGATCGTACACCAAACATGTACAAATAACACCTAATATATTTCAGCATGCTGATGAGTGCTTTATATTGCTACAGGCAGTTGATGTATACATTAGTAAATTGTAATTTTCTTAAGTTTCTATGATAATTATTGCCACACTGCAAATGAAAAATAATTGCCTAACCAAAATGTGTATAGCCGACTATGACTCACCAATTAAGTTAGGATACTGTACTTTTACATAAATCTAAAAACCTTTCTTGTATTTAATATTGAAGGTGTCCTTAATTCCTTACCAAACAGTGGCAATGATCAGCTGTGATTTTTGCTGCTCTAAGTTGTCTGACTATGTTGATGCGGTCTTCCAGCTGTTTCCCTCCTATTGCACACACCAGCACACTGATCACCCCAGATCCACAACCAAGACCTATCCACCAAAGGAAAAATATTTGTTAGTATTTTCCAGTGTTCTCAAATCTAGTTATCTGCTACTTATATAAATGTGAAATAACATTACATACATTTATTTTTATGACTTGGAAGTCATAACCAAAATAAGAAAAAAAGTAAAAATATGATTATCTTTTAAGTATAGATATTCATAAAAATGCTAAGGCAGTGTAGATAGATCATTTGGCACTGCAGGGAAATGCAGAAAAACTAATGAAAGACATGCCTCTCAACAATCTCATTCAGACCTCTAATTGACCCACAAGGGTCAATTAGAGGTCTGAATGCCAGCTCATGCTTTTATTTATGCAAAATTTGGCTAATAGTCATTGCACCACTTTTCGCTTATCCTTTAATAAGTGAAATGTAGTCGTATAGACCACAGTATAGGTTTCCTTCATTTTATTCGGATCTGCTTTATATAAGTGCAATAAATATTTGCCATTCATTATTAATGCAGTTCACAAGGTATACTAAAGATTCTTAAATGAAATTAGGTTTTGATGAACCAATTAAATTTAGTAAAGTTGCCATGGGCCTGTAACACACCCAGTGTATATAGCCAGGAACACACATTGCTGTATATTGTACATTACTTACAAAAACAAATATCTGGATGATACATAATACTATGGTGTAGATAATACTCACCAGCCACAACCTGGTCAATATCTCTCTGACCAGTAGCCATAAGCTTGATCACTTCCGCAATACAACAGTCAAACTTCTCCAAAAAAAGACTCACTCCTACAGCAGCAGGCAATTCTGCATTCTTCTCTGTAGATAGCAGTTTTCTCCTAATATGTAAGAAGCAGTTTCATGGTTACAGTTAAACGTTTAACAAGTATTAAAATTTTTTTTATTATTATTATCACACTGGCCGATTCCCACCAAGGCAGGGTGGCCTGAAAAAGAAAAACTTTCACCATCATTCACTCCATCACTGTCTTGCCAGAAGGGTGCTTTACACTACAGTTTTTAAACTGCAACATTAACACCCCTCCTTCAGAGTGCAGGCACTGTACTTCCCATCTTCAGGACTCAAGTCCGGCCTGCCGGTTTCCCTGAACCCCTTCATAAATGTTACTTTGCTCACACTCCAACAGCACGTCAAGTATTAAAAACCATTCGTCTCCATTCACTCCTATCAAACACGCTCACGCACGCCTGCTGGAAGTCCAACCCCCTCGCACACAAAACTCCTTTACCCCCTCCCTCCAACCTTTCCTAGGCCGACCCTACCCCGCCTTCCTTCCACTACAGACTGATACACTCTTGAAGTCATTCTGTTTCGCTCCATTCTCTCTACATGCCGAACCACCTCAACAACCCTTCCTCAGCCCTTGGACAACAGTTTTGGTAATCCCGCACCTCCTCCTAACTTCCAAACTACGAATTCTCTGCATTATATTCACACCACACATTGGCCTCAGACATGACATCTCCACTGCCTCCAGCCTTCTCCTCGCTGCAACACTCATCACCCATGCTTCACACCCATATAAGAGCGTTGGTAAAACTATACTCTCATACATTCCCCTCTTTGCCTCCAAGGACAAAGTTCTTTGTCTCCACAGACTCCTAAGTGCACCACTCACCCTTTTCCCCTCATAAATTCTATGATTCACCTCATCCTTCATAGACCCATCTGCTGACACGTCCACTCCCAAATATCTGAATACATTCACCTCCTCCATACTCTCTCCCTCCAATCTGATATCCAATCTTTCATCACTAATCTTTTTTATCCTCATAACCTTACTCTTTCCTGTATTCACTTTTAATTTTCTTCTTTTGCACACCCTACCAAATTCATCCACCAATCTCTGCAACTTCTCTTCAGAATCTCCAAGAGCACAGTGTCATCAGCAAAGAGCAACTGTGACAACTCCAACTTTATGTGTGATTCTTTATCTTTTAACTCCACGCCTCTTGCCAAGACCCTCGCATTTACTTCTCTTACAACCCCATCTATAAATATATTAAACAACCACGGTGACATCACACATCCTTGTCTAAGGCCTACTTTTACTGGGAAATAATTTCCCTCTTTCCTACATACTCTAACTTGAGCCTCACTATCCTCGTAAAAACTCTTCACTGCTTTCAGTAACCTACCTCCTACACCATACACCTGCAACATCTGCCACATTGCCCCCCCTATCCACCCTGTCATACACCTTTTCCAAATCCATAAATGCCACAAAGACCTCTTTAGCCTTATCTAAATACTGTTCACTTATATGTTTCACTGTAAACACCTGGTCCACACACCCCTACCTTTCATAAAGCCTCCTTGTTCATCTGCTATCCTATTCTCCATCTTACTCTTAATTCTTTCAATAATAACTCTACCATACACTTTAGCAGGTATACTCAACAGACTTATCCCCCTATAATTTTTGCACTCTCTTTTGTCCCCTTTGCCTTTATACAAAGGAACTATGCATGCTCTCTGCCAATCCCTAGGTACCTTACCCTCTTCCATACATTTATTAAATAATTGCACCAACCACTCCAAAACTATATCCCCACCTGCTTTTAACATTTCTATCTTTATCCCATCAATCCCGGCTGCCTTACCCCCTTTCATTTTACCTACTGCCTCACGAACTTCCCCCACACTCACAACTGGCTCTTCCTCACTCCTACAAGATGTTATTCCTCCTTGGCCTATACACGAAATCACAGCTTCCCTATCTTCATCAACATTTAACAATTCCTCAAAATATTCCCTCCATCTTCCCAATACCTCTAATTCTCCATTTAATAACTCTCCTTTTCTATTTTTAACTGACAAATCCATTTGTTCTCTAGGCTTCCTTAACTTGTTAATCTCACTCCAAAACTGTTTCTTATTTTCAACAAAATTTGTTGGTAACATCTCACCCACTCTCTCATTTGCTCTCTTTTTACATTGCTTCACCACTCTCTTAACCTCTCTGTTTTTCTCCATATACTCTTCCCTCCTTGCATCACTTCTACTTTGTAAAAACTTCTCATATGCTAACTTTTTCTCCCTTACTGCTCTCTTTACATCATCATTCCACCAATCGCTCCTCTTTCCTCCCGCACCCACTTTCCTGTAACCACAAACTTCTGCTGAACACTCTAACACTACATTTTTAAACCTACCCCATACCTCTTCGACCCCATTGCCTATGCTCTCATTAGCCCATCTATCCTCCAATAGCTGTTTATATCTTACCCTAACTGCCTCCTCTTTTAGTTTATAAACCTTCACCTCTCTCTTCCCTGATGCTTCTATTCTCCTTGTACCCCATCTACCTTTTACTCTCAGTGTAGCTACAACTAAAAAGTGATCTGATATATCTGTGGCCCCTCTATAAACATGTACATCCTGAAGTCTACTCAACAGTCTTTTATCTACCAATACATAATCCAACAAACTACTGTCATTTTGCCCTACATCATATCTTGTATACTTATTTATCCTCTTTTTCTTAAAATATGTATTACCTATAACTAAACCCCTTTCTATACAAAGTTCAATCAAAGGGCTCCCATTATCATTTACACTTTGCACCCCAAACTTACCTACCACACCCTCTCTAAAAGTTTCTCCTACTTTAGCATTCAGATCCCCTACCACAATTACTCTCTCACTTGGTTCAAAGGCTCCTATACATTCACTTAACATCTCCCAAAATCTCTCTCTCTCTCCTCTACATTCCTCTCTTCTCCAGGTGCATACACGCTTATTATGACCCACTTTTCACATCCAACCTTTACTTTAATCCACATAATTCTTGAATTTACACATTCATATTCTCTTTTCTCCTTCCATAACTGATCCTTCAACATTACTGCTACCCCTTCCTTTGCTCTAACTCTCTCAGATACTCCAGATTTAATCCCATTTATTTCCCCCACCGAAACTCCCCTACCCCCTTCAGCTTTGTTTCGCTTAGGGCCAGGACATCCAACTTCTTTTCATTCATAACATCAGCAATCATCTGTTTCTTGTCATCCGTACTACATCCACGCACATTCAAGCATCCCAGTTTTATGAAGTTTTTCTTCTTCTCTTTTTTAGTAAATGTCTACAGGAGAAGGGGTTACTAGCCCATTGCTCCTGGCATTTTAGTCGCCTCATACGACACGCATGGCTTACGGAGGAAAGATTCTTTTCCACTTCCCCATGGACAATAGAAGAAATAAAGAACAAGAGCTATTTAGAAAAAGGGGAAAAACCTAGATGTATGTATATATATATATATATATATGCATGTGCGTGTCTGTGAAGTGTGACCAAAGTGTAAGTAGGAGTAGCAAGATATCCCTGTTATCTAGCGTGTTTATGAGACAGAAAAAGAAACCAGCAATCCTACCATCATGCAAAACAGTTACAGGTTTCTGTTTCACAGTCATCTGGCAGGACGGTAGTACTTCCCTGGGTGGTTACTGTCTACCAACCTACTACCTACAGTATTAAAATTATGCAGTAAAAATTTACAGTAATTGCAATCTGGAGTAGGTAACTCATATGAGGGTTCAAACAAGGCTTGATATTGAGGTTTAAACACACACTCCATACAGAGATTCAAAAATAAAACACTTTATGGAGGATCCATACAGTGGTTTAAACGTAAAGCACATCATAATGAATATCAAATAAGATACTTTACAGAGGTTCAATTATACAACAATATAAAAATATATACTTTTTTTTTTTCCAATGAACCCGCTGTATCCCACCAAGACAGGGTGACCTTAAAAGAAAAACGAAAAGTTTTCCTTTTTAAATTTAGTAATTCATGCAGGAGAAGGGTAACGTTACCAACCCCTTACTCCCAGTATTTTAGTTGCCTCTTACAACACATGACTTATGAAGGTAGGATTCTTCTCCACTTCCTTATGGAGATATATAAATAGAGGTTTCAACATAAGAATCCTTAAGAGATTTAAACAACAATCCATACAGAAGTTTAAATATAAGGTTCCATACAAAGATCAAAATATAAGATCATACAGAAGCTCAAACATTATGCTCCATATAGATGTTCAAACATAAGGAACCATACATAGATTCAAACATAAGACTTCAGAGATTCAAACAAGACATCATACAGAGGCTCAAACATGGCTCCTTACAGTAGTTAAAATATGAATATGAGAACAGTTCATTCATGTCAATTAAAACTTAAGAGGCCTAAGAGCTACAGCCCAGCTCCTGCTGGGTAATAACTTGTCTTTTCAATAGTTCACTACCTCACTGATAGCTGGAGGTCTTAACCTAAATTACAATTACTTGTACAAGATAACTGAAATACAAATGTATATTTTTTCTGTTACTCTCCTATAAATGTCATGCTAAAGTATATACAGTAGGGCCCCACTTATATGGCAGGTTAGGTTCCAGGCTACCGCCAGAAAGTGGACATCACCAGAAAGCAGAACGACATTTTTTTGTCCACTTATAAATTATATAAATGCCAGATAACAAGTTTACACTGTATAATGTTTGCTTACTCTTACTAGACATGTACACTATTTTTTTTTAACCAATGAATTTACAGGTTAAGAGCTGTTATACCACTGCAGCTTGTTTCAGAGTCCAGTTCTAAGTATACTACCATCTTTTCCTCTCTGGATACCACCCGTAACAGTCATTTAGCATCCAGATACCTATTTCTAGTAATTTTTACAGTTTTAAAAAATAGTGAGAATAATCTGTCAGGAAATTTTGCCAATGCCATACCTGTGCTGAAGTATCAGGTATTCATAAGAGCCCCCTTGAGCTAGAAGGTCTTGATTATTGCCCATCTTCTTGGGCATATTCATCAAAAACTGACACATAAATCCAGAATACAGATGGGCATCTGCTACCATCAGAGGGCGTAGCTTGATATCAAACTAAAAAAATAAAAAATCCAGCTTCAATCTATGAACCTAAATATACAATATATGAAAAATATTTGTCATGCAATGCTGCTTACAGGTGTTTAAAAAATTTAGATGATGAAAAAATGTTTACATATTAATATTCATATTTTCATCACCAACTGATTATCCTTTTCTTATAACATTATAACATACAAATTTGTACAGCAAAAATCAAAAATTTATAAAAATAAAGTAAAATCTATTAATGGAAATACCTTAATACCAATAACAGTCGAAGCTTCCTTAATCTCTGAGAGATCATTCAGAACATGTTTAACAGCTGCTGCAAGATTCTTACGACGATAACTTAACCCTTTGTTTTGGAGACTTGTTATAACATCTTCTAAAGGGCCTTCCATGTATAGAAATCCTTTCAGTGACTCAGCTGAAGATTTTGCAATTCCAATGTCACAAAGGAAATCAATAAAGTTTTCAACTGTCATCCGCTTGTTATTGAATTCCTGAAAGTGAAAACTTCCAAAAATTTAATAAACTGAAAGTTCAAGAATTTTTCTTCCATATAATTTATTTATTTGACTTTTCTATACTCTTACAATCCTTGCATATGAAAAATTTACTTTTTTTTTAGGTTAAATATATACTGTATTGTATTTTCATCTGTAAATGTTCATTCACTAAAAATAAAAATGCAGTGCAATATAATTTCCAAACTGTTACAATTAGATTATATAACTGTAACAAAAAGTAAATGAAACATTACATTATATTTGACTTGTATTTCAGAGCCCTAAAATCTTACCTTAAGTAGTGAAAAGACTTCTGGATACAGTTTTTCCTCAATTCCACAGTAATTAAGGATTACTTGAACTAGATCCAAGTGACCCACACAGATGTAAACATATTCACTGCTTCTTTGGATTATTTGTTGTATTATATCATGTGCAACAAGCATAACTCTTGCTGAAGATTCTGGTAGGTCTCTTTTTGAAGACACAATATCAAATGCACATTCATATGACTCTTTAGGATGGATTCCAGATACCTTATAAGCACGCTGAACACGATCAATACAGTACCTTCTCATAAACTTGATTTCATTGCGAGCAACAAATCGGGCAAAGGGATATCTTAAGTCATATTGTGCAGACACAAGCTCTCCTTTATGTGCCATGAGACACACCAAGTTCTCTTTGTCATTGTAAAATGATCCTTTAGGTATGTAGAAGGAAGTTGGTACCCATATTCCCCCATGGGCTTTAAATATTGACACAAATAGTGCCTGCAAATAATCAAAGTTCCAATAATGCCAGTACTTTGAAGAAGCTTTATGATTCATCTCAAATGTTGCTTCCAATTCTGGTCGAGCTGAGGGTTTGAATACCAAGTTAAGGATCTCTTGATATTTGGATGACCTAATATTTTGCAACCTGGTTTCAAGTGTTTCTACAAACTTCTTTTCTTCAGCTGTAGGGGGTGGCAAAAGGGATGATTTTAAGATCTCAGTAGTACTTGGTCTTAAATGTGGATCCTGATGAAGTAACCAAGAAATCAGCTCAGTACATGAGGTATTTTTCATCTTAGGAAAATCATTAGGAAATTTGATTTCTGGTTTCCTAAGATCAGAGAGAACCTTGACTCTTTCCATACCAGTTGTGAGAGGAGGATATACCATTTCAAAGAAAATGACTCCAAGGCTATAGATGTCCACTTTACTTGTATAACTAACTTTCCCTATTGCTTTGGTGATTTCAGGGGCAATATAAAATGTAGTGCCAACCTGACCTGTCAAAGCACTACTTTCTTCAACATCTCCCTTTGTAATCAGGCCCCCTGTTGTCTTTGCCTTGATAGCTGCAGTTGCAAGACCAAAATCACCAATTTTAACATGATCAGCTGAGTCAATAAATATATTTCCTGGCTTGAGATCACGATGAATAAGGCCTTGTGAATGAATGTAGTCCAAACCATTAACAATCTCTCGAAATAATCGCCACATACGGTCATAGTCTAGATGCAGGCCACTGTTATTAATTGCTTGTCTGAAAGGGATAGAAAAACACAATTACTCAATACTGAAGAAAGCAAACAATATCTACTTCGAAGAAAATCTTACTAAGGTTGAATAAGTAATTTTTTTTAACACATCAGCTGTCTCCCACCAAGGTAGCATAATCCAAAAAAGAAACTTTCACTATCATTCACACATAATCACTGTCTTTGCAGAGGTGCACAGATATGACAATTCTGATGTCACTCCAAACAGCAAACATCCCAAACCCCTCCTTTAAGGTGTAGCCATTGTACTTCCCGCCTCCAGGACTTGGTTTCCCTGAATCCCTTCACAAAATATTACCCTGCTCACACTCCAACAGCTCGTCAAGTTCCAAAAACCATTCATCTCCATTCACTCCTATCTAACATGCTTACACATGCCTGCAATATGTCCAAGCCCCTTGCACCCAAAACGAATTTTACCCCCTCCCTCCATCCTTTCCTAGGATGACCCCTGACCTATACATACATAATTTCTATGTATTAAGTATCTCTTCCTACTTTACACTATTATTATTATTATTATTATTATTCATTTTTCAACAAACCAGCCATATCCCACCGAGGCAGGGTGGCCCAAAAAGAAAAACAAGTTTCTCTTTTTAAATTTAGTAATTTATACAGGAAAAGGGGTTACTAGCCCCTTGCTCCCGGCATTTTAGTCGCCTCTTACAACACGCATGGCTTACAGGGGAAGAATTCTGTTCCACTTCCCCATGGAAATCTTCTTCTTCTTTCAACATACCAGCCGTATCCCACCGAGGCAGGGTGGCCCAAAAGAAAAAACTAAAGTTTCTCCTTTTAAATTTAGTAATATATACAGGAGAAGGGGTTACTAGCCCCTTGCTCCCAGCATTTTAGTCGCCTCTTACGACACGCATGGCTTACAGAGGAAGAATTCTGTTCCACTTCCCCATGGAGGTAAGAGAAAATAAGCAACAAGAACAAGAACTAGTAAGAAAATATTAGAAAACCCAGAGGGGTGTGTATATATATGCTTGTACATGTATGTGTAGTGTGACCTAAGTGTAAGTAGAAGTAGCAAGACGTACCTGAAATCTTGCATGTTCATGAGACAGAAAAAAGGACACCAGCAATCCTACCATCATGTAAAACAATTACAGGCTTTCATTTAACACTCACTTGGCAAGATGGTAGTACCTCCCTAGGCGGTTGCTGTCTACCAACCTCCTACCTATAATTATTATTATTATTATTATCATTATTATTATATTTTCTAACACACCAGCCAACTCCCACTAATGTAGGGTGACCCTTAAAAAAGAAACACTTTCACCAACAATCACTCCATCACTGCCCTGCCAGAAGTGCACTGACATCACAGCTCAGTTGCCCCTCCAAAATGCAATATCCCCACCCCTCCCTCAGTGTAGGCACTGTACTTCCCACCTCCAGGACTCAAGTTTGGCTAACTGTTTTCCCTGAATCCCTTAATAAATGTTACCTTGCTTATTACAAAACAGAGACTGGTAATAACTGGTGTAAAACAAGTTCAACTGTAGGCATGCATGCATACATACAACATATGGATAAAATTTAAGATATGTAATGACTGTTTAACAGTTTGCTATAATCACAAGATTAAGAATATACTCTCATGCATATTTCATGCAAAAAATTAAATACATATATACTGGTGGGGCCTTGTGTACATCCAAAATACAATTTATTTCTTTGTAAAGGTTACAGTGTGAGATTTACATTTTATAAAATGTTAAGTACAAAGAAAGCCACTAAAATGCCCAGGCATTTTGGGCAGACTAATACTAATGCTTACACACTACTTAAAACTAGACATAGCATATTAACATAAGGTGAACATATTCAGTATTTTAATGGTTGTGAGGATTACAGGTATTGAGAACAAGATTACAGCCTCTCCTCACTTAGCAATGTACTCATTTACCGACGACTCGGACTTACGACAAGCCCTCTGACCAGTATGCATACCTAAATAATGTATATTACAGCTGATTTCCTCTATTCTGTTCATTACAATATATAGTACACTACTGTATAAACATTTAAAAATATACCAGAAATGTTATAAATGGTGCAAAGGTGACCTTAAAACAATATCAAAGATGGTTGACACAAACCCACTACCATTATAGTACATGTATGCTCCTCACTTAGTGATGAATTTGTTCAGTGAGGAGAGGCTGTATACTGTTTTCCATATGTTAGTGACAATGAGAATATGATATATAGTTTTCACATATTTAGCTAATGTTGGGATATGTTAGGGAGTAAAGGTATTTTTTAATGGTAGTTTTGAAGATGCCAGCTGAGACAGTGGCTCTGGAAATTTTCGGCAGAAAGTTCCAGATTTTGGGCCCTGTTATGTACAGAGTTTTTACAGAGATTTACCTGGACATGGGATATGTCATAGACATTTCTGTGCCTAGCATTACGTCTATGGATCCTTTTGTAACTATCAAAAAAGTGAACCATACCCGCCTGTGGTATGGTTTGTTTGCAGTTGTCATTATGAATTATCAAGAAAGTGCTTCAGGTCGGGATTAATAATGTTCTGTGACTGTAGGAGGCACAGTAGTAATAGTGAATGTTTTGCACAGTGAGTAGATTTAGGTCTTTGAAGAGTGAAGGGGGAGGGGGTTGTCTAGCAGTGGACTATGTGATCATTCGTATTGCGGCCTTTTGTTGAGTTATTAGCTTATAATGATTTGCTGTTGTGGATCCCCAGGCACAAATAGTGTAAGTGAGGTAGGGGTAGATTAGTGAAAAGTATAATGTAAGTAGTGCTGTTTGTGGTACATAATAACAAAGAGAGGATGCCAACTGTTTTGGACACTATTTTTTTTTTATGTGTTGGATATGGGTATTGAATTTCAAGTTGCTGTCAAGGTGCACACCCAAAAATTTTCCCCCATTATGTTTAGCAATAGTAGTAGTAGTGTTAATCATAATGTTTAGTTGGACATTATTTGCTCAGCTCCCAAACATAATGTAAAAGGTTTTGTCAATGTTAAGTGTAAGTTTCCTAGGTAGTAGGTTGGTAGACAGCAACCACCCAGGGAGGTACTACCGTCCTGCCAAGTGAGTGTAAAACAAAAGCCTGTAATTGTTTTACATGATGGTAGGATTGCTGGTGTCTTTTGTCTGTCTCATAAACATGCAAGATTTCAGGTATGTCTTGCTACTTCTACTTACACTTAGGTCACACTACACATACATGTACAATCACATACAGTGGACCCCCGCATAGTGATATTAATCCGTGCAAGAGAGCTCATTGTTATGCGAAATTATCGTTATGCGAATGAATTTTCCCCATAAGAAATACAGTGGACCCCCGGTTAACGATATTTTTTCACTCCATAAGTATGTTCAGGTGCCAGTACTGACCGAATTTATTCCCATAAGGAATATTGTGAAGTAGATTAGTCCATTTCAGACCCCCAAACATACACGTACAAACGCACTTACATAAATACACTAACATAATTGGTCGCATTCGGAGGTAATCGTTATGCGGGGGTCCACTGTAATGGAAATCAAATTAATCCGTGCAAGACACCCAAAAGTATGAAAAAAAAAAATTTACCACATGAAATATACATTTTCCTACACACAAAGAGAAGGATACATGCACAATAGTAGAGTAGTACATGCACAATATATATTGCGCATGTACTGCTCTACTAAATGAAGAATAAATGACACTTACCTTTATTGAAGATGCAGCAATGACTGATGAGACACTGTGTCCTGGGAGTGCCTTTTCCTCCTGAGTACTGTAGGTCCTGTTTGGCATTTTCTTCCAGAACAGGCCTTATCACACTGTGTATGCCACTACGATTCTTAAATCTCAAACCAACCTTTGCTGGCTTTAAATTCACCAATATGAGCACTAGTTCCAGGCATTTTTCCCTGTTCACCTGGGTGTTAGTCGATTGGTGTGGGTTGCATCCTGGGAGACAAGATTAAGGACCCCAATGGAAATAAGTTAGACAGTCTTCGATGACACTGACTTTTTTGGGTTATCCTGGGTGGTAAATCCTCTGGGGTTAATTGTTTCTTGGTATTCTCAATAAGCCACACCAACAACGGTGCTACAGCAGCAGCAGACGATGCTAGCAGCAGCAGCAGCAGCAGCTGACGGTGGTGCAGCAGCAGCTGTACCACCAATAGTAGCGATGGTTGATTGGGGTTTATTATACAACCTGGCCAGCTCGGAGACACGCACTCCACTTTCATACTTATCAATGATCTTTTTCTTCATCTCTATAGTAATTCTCACCCTTATTGCTGTAGGGTTGGCACTAGAAGCTTTCTTGGGGCCCAAGGTCACTTATTTTGCAGATAAAATCACCAAAAACACTGTAATAATACGAAATGTTCCGATTGTATGCTTGGATGTTACCGCGGAGGCTGGCTGGTAAACAATGCCACCGGCGGAACATGTGAGGCTGGCTAAGGGCGCACATTAGACGCGTCTCGGACGAACAGCGCTGAGCGGGTTTTTTAGCGGTATGCGAGGCAAAATCTTGGCGATAAAATGTAGCGGTATGCGGATTTAACGTTATGCAAGGCCAACGGTATACGGGGGTCCACTGTATATACACACACCCCTCTGGGTTTTCTGCTATTTTCTTTCTAGTTCTTGTTCTTGTTTATTTCCTCTTATCTCCATGGGGAAATGGAACAGAATTCTTCCTCCGGAAGTCATGCGTGTCGTAAGAGGTGACTGAAATGCCGGGAGCAAGGGGCTAGTAACCCCTTCTCCTGTATATATTACTAAATTTGAATGGAGAAACTTTCGTTTTTCCTTTTGGGCCACCCCACCTCGGTGGGATACGGCTGGTACGTTGAAAGAAGAAGTGTAAGTTTATTGGTAGTCATCCAGGCAGATATTTTTAAGAGCTCTTCATTAACAATGTTGTTGAGTAATGCTGGGCTTGGGTGGGAGATGACAAAAGTTGTCATCAACAAAGAGAATAGGTCTAAGTTGTTGCAATACATTTGGAAGGTCATTGATGTATAAAAGGAAAAGTAAGGGGCCAAGGATGCTTCCCTGTGGAACGGCAATGTCCAGAGGCCTTGATGAGGAGGTTGTGTCGTAATAGAGATGTATTGCTGTTTGTTAGTAAGGTAAGACTTTATATATGCAAGTGCATGGCCTCCGATACTGATCCTAGAACTCGATAAATCATCCTAGTGGATATTCATTTTTTCAAGTGCTGTGTAAAGCAGGTCTAGCATTTTTATAATTGCATCATTTGTGCTTTTGTTGCTCCTGAAGCCAAACTGGCGGGGGTTGAGAATGCTTTGCGATGTTGTAAAGGAGAATAATCTCTTGTGCATGAGTTTCTCAAAGATTTTGGATAGCAAAGGCAAGTCTGATATTGGTCTATAGCTGTTTACATCCATTGGGTCTCTACCTTTGTATACTGGAGTAACTCTTGCTATCTTGAGTAATGCTGGGAAAGTGCTGGTTTCAAGTGATTTGTTAAAAAGTAATGTAATGGTGGTAAGAGGACATGAGCCCCTCGTTTGTACAATAGTGGTGGAATGTGAGCTATATTTCCTTATTTATTTTCTAATGAAATAATAATCAGGGTGACTTCATTAGGCTCGATTGGAACAAGATAGAGGGATGTTGGGAAGTTACCATCTAAGTAATCACTCACTTGGGTATTAGTGCCTGGAATCTTACTTGTCAGACTTGATCCTATGGTTGAGAAGTCATTTATCTTATTAGCTGTTTCAAATGGCTGAAGTTGTGGTTCGTTTGGTTTAGTTAGGACAATATCTCTAGTTCTGTTCAGCTTTGGGTGCCCAGGACCTGAGAGAGTGTCTTCCAGGTCTTTTTTATATCTCCTCTGATTTCAGTGAATCTATTTGAACAATACAGTTGCTTGGACTTTCTTATTAGTTTGGTGAGGACTAAAGTATAGTATTTACCAAGTTCTTTAGTTATTAAGCCCCCATCTTGCAAAACACATCTGTGAGCAAGGCAGTGTATCATTCATTTCCAGGTGAGAAAGGTTTACTAATGCCAGTATAACACCTTACTTTTCTGTAACTGTATACCTAGACTATATATGAAAGACTGAGACTGTAGCAGTATTGTAACTAATATACTGAAAGCAAAATATGTAAATGAAAAAGGTTAAGAACTAAAAGTAAATTAATACAGTGGCATTCAAATCAGATCAAGTATATACTTGCAACATGACAAGGTATATACGTAATATACACATAAATGTAGGTACAGTGGACCCCCGCATAACGATCAGCTCCCAACTCGACCAACTATTTAAGTGTATTTTTGTAAGTGCTGTTGTAGGTGTATTTTTGGGGGTCTGAAACGGACTAATCTAATTCACAATATTTCTTATGGGAACAAATTCGGTCTATAACGGCACCCAAACAGACTTCTGGATTGAAATAATATCGTTATGCGGGGGTCCACTGTAGTAGGTTGGTAGACAGCAACCGCCCAGGGAGGTACTACCGTCCTGCCAAGTGAGTGTAAAATGAAAGCCTGTAATTGTTTTACATGATGGTAGGATTGCTGGTGTCCTTTTTTCTGTCTCATAAACATGCAAGGTTTCAGGTACGTGTTGCTACTTCTACTTACACCTAGGTCACACTACACATACATGTACAAGCATATATATACACATACCCCTCTGGGGTTTTCTGCTATTTTCTTTCTAGTTCTTGTTCTTGTTTATTTCCTCTTATCTCCATGGGGAAGTGGAACAGAATTCTTCCTCCGTAAGCCGTGCATGTTGTAAGAGGCGACTAAAATGCCGGGAGCAAGAGACTAGTAACCCCTTCTCCCGTATAAAATTACTAAATTTGAAAAGAGAAACTTTTGTTTTTCTTTTTGGGCCACCCTGCCTTGGTGGGATACGGCCAGTTTGTTGAAAAAAAAATATATATAAATAAATGTATACCACAGTTTAGTAGTTACAAGACATTATGCCAGTGTTCTTGAAAATTTATCATATACCTACATAAATAATCATATGACATTAAGTCCAAACCTAAGTGACTCTGGTCACCTTTATTAAAATAATTAAAAATCCCATCGGAAACATTTGGATAAATATGTACCTTAAAGTATTATTCTCACAAAGTTGCATCTGGATATAGAGGAACTGCAACTTTTTCTGTTTGGTAGAGGGAGCCACCATGTGTTCTGCATCATTATTGTCAAAAACACTGTCAGTCTGATCTTCTATACACTGTGTCTTATAAAATTCGATGTCATCTGAATCTTCATCCTCTTCCTTCATCAATGGCCTGAAGTATTTTTCAAAATTATTAAATAGTAAGCAAACAAGTACATAGTAAATAAAAAAATTGGTACAATAATGTATTAATATGTTTTTTCTATTATTATTTATTATCACACTGGCCGATTCCCACCAAGGCAGGGTGGCCCGAAAAAGAAAAACTTTCACCATCATTCACTCCATCACTGTCTTGCCAGAAGGGTGCTTTACACTACAGTTTTTAAACTGCAACATTAACACCCCTCCTTCAGAGTGCAGGCACTGTACTTCCCATCTCCAGGACTCAAGTCCGGCCTGCCGGTTTCCCTGAACCCCTTCATAAATGTTACTTTGCTCACACTCCAACAGCACATCAAGTATTAAAAACCATTTGTCTCCATTCACTCCTATCAAACACGCTCACGCATGCCTGCTGGAAGTCCAAGCCCCTCGCAAACAAAACCTCCTTTACCCCCTCCCTCCAACCTTTCCTAGGCCGACCCTAACCCCGCCTTCCTTCCACTACAGACTGATACACTCTTGAAGTCATTCTGTTTCGCTCCATTCTCTCTACATGTCCGAACCAAATCAACAACCCTTCCTCAGCCCTCTGGACAACAGTTTTGGTAATCCCGCACCTCCTCCTAACTTCCAAACTACGAATTCTCTGCATTATATTCACACCACACATTGCCCTCAGACATGACATCTCCACTGCCTCCAGCCTTCTCCTCGCTGCAACATTCATCACCCATGCTTCACACCCATATAAGAGCATTGGTAAAAAACTGTACTCTCATACATTCCCCTCTTTGCCTCCAAGGACAAAGTTCTTTGTCTCCACAGACTCCTAAGTGCACCACTCACCCTTTTTCCCCTCATCAATTCTATGATTCACCTCATCTTTCATAGACCCATCCGCTGACATGTCCACTCCCAAATATCTGAATACATTCACCTCCTCCATACTCTCTCCCTCCAATCTGAAATCCAATCTTTCATCACCTAATCTTTTTGTTATCCTCATAACCTTACTCTTTCCTGTATTCACTTTTAATTTTCTTCTTTTGCATACCCTACCAAATTCATCCACCAATCTCTGCAACTTCTCTTCAGAATCTCCCAAGATCACAGTGTCATCAGCAAAGAGCAACTGTGACAACTCCCACTTTATGTGTGATTCTTTATCTTTTAACTCCATGCCTCTTGCCAAGACCCTCGCATTTACTTCTCTTACAACCCCATCTGTAAATATATTAAACAACCATGGTGACATCACACATCCTTGTCTAAGGCCTACTTTTACTGGGAAATAATTTCTCTCTTTCCTACATACTCTAACTTGAGCCTCACTATCCTCGTAAAAACTCTTCACTGCTTTCAGTAACCTACCTCCTATACAATACACCTGCAACATCTGCCACATTGTCCCCTATCCACCCTGTCATACGCCTTTTCCAAATCCATAAATGCCACAAAGACCTCTTTAGCCTTATCTAAATACTGTTCACTTATATGTTTCACTGTAAACACCTGGTCCACACACCCCCTACCTTTCCTAAAGCCTCCTTGTTCATCTGCTATCCTATTCTCCATCTTACTCTTAATTCTTTCAATAATAACTCTACCATACACTTTACCAGGTATACTCAACAGACTTATCCCCCTATAATTTTTGCACTCTCTTTTGTCCCCTTTGCCTTTATACAAAGGAACTATGCATGCTCTCTGCCAATCCCTAGGTACCTTACCCTCATTCATACATTTATTAAATAATTGCACCAACCACTCCAAAACTATATCCCCACCTGCTTTTAACATTTCTATCTTTATCCCATCAATCCCGGCTGCCTTACCCCCTTTCATTTTATCTACTGCCTCACGAACTTCCCCCACACTCACAACTGGCTCTTCCTCACTCCTACAAGATGTTATTCCTCTCTTGCCTATACACGAAATCACAGCTTCCTTATCTTCGTCAACATTTAACAATTCCTCAAAATATTCCCTCCATCTTCCCAATACCTCTAACTCTCCATTTAATAACTCTCCTCTCCTATTTTTAACTGACAAATCCATTTGTTCTCTAGGCTTCCTTAACTTGTTAATCTCACTCCAAAACTGTTTCTTATTCTCAACAAAATTTGTTGATAACATCTCACCCACTCTCTCATTTGCTCTCTTTTTACATTGCTTCACTACTCTCTTAACCTCTCTCTTTTTCTCCATATACTCTTCCCTCCTTGTATCACTTCTACTTTGTAAAAACTTCTCATATGCTAACTTTTTCTCCCTTACTACTCTCTTTACATATCATTCCACCAGTCGCTCCTCTTTCCTCCCGCACCCACTTTCCTGTAACCACAAACTTCTGCTAAACACTCTAACATTACATTTTTAAACCTACCCCATACCTCTTCGACCTCATTGCCTATGCTCTCATTAGCCCATCTATCCTCCAATAGCTGTTTATATCTTACCCTAACTGCCTCCTCTTTTAGTTTATAAACCTTCACCTCTCTCTTCCCTGATGCTTCTATTCTCCTTGTATCCCATCTACCTTTACTCTCAGTGTAGCTACAACTAGAAAGTGATCTGATATATCTGTGGCCCCTCTATAAACATGTACATCCTGAAGTCTACTCAACAGTCTTTTATCTACCAATACATAATCCAACAAACTACTGTCATTTCGCCCTATATCATATCTTGTATACTTATTTATCCTCTTTTTCTTAAAATATGTATTACCTATAACTAAACCCCTTTCTATACAAAGTTCAATCAAAGGGCTCCCATTATCATTTACACCTGGCACCCCAAACTTACCTACCACACCCTCTCTAAAAGTTTCTCCTACTTTAGCATTCAGGTCCCCTACCACAATTACTCTCTCACTTGGTTCAAAGGCTCCTATACATTCGCTTAACATCTCCCAAAATCTCTCTCCTCTACATTCCTCTCTTCTCCAGGTGCATACACGCTTATTATGACCCACTTTTCGCATCCAACCTTTACTTTAATCCACATAATTCTTGAATTTACACATTAATATTCTCTTTTGGTTAAAATTTTGCATAATAATATTTATTGACTACACTCCAAGAGATATCCTATTATTGATGGAATAAAATACTGACAAGTTGATGAATAAGACATTTGTAATACTTGATTACCAATGTTTTAACTTACATACCTGAGACTACCCATTAGCCAGTCATCATCATCATCCTCACTCTCTTCAACAAAGTCTGTTGATGTGGTGAAGCCAGGATGATTTGAAGTGGTATTAAATATGATACTCCATTCAGATTCATCTTGCTGACCTAAAACAATATTAAAAGTAAATTTTCATTTCATTATAAATATTTAGGAGATTTATGTAGCACCTACAGAAAATTAATTGCCTATTCCCTTGGAAAATAACTACAAATGCATTTAGTACCTAAGTTATTAGTGAATGTTTTCGGATATTTGGGAGTTGACGTGTCAGCGGATGGATGTATGAAGGATGAGGTTAACCACAGAATTGATGAAGGAGAAAAGGTGAGTGGTGCATTGAGGTATATGTGGAGACAAAAAACATTATCTATGGAGGCAAAGAAGGGAATGTATGAAAGTAAAGTGGTACCAACACTCTTATATGGGTGTGAAGCTTGGGTTGTAAATGCTGCAGCAAGGAGGTGGTTGGAGGCAGTGGAGATGTCCTGTCTAAGAGCAATGTATGGTAAGTAAGTAAGTAAGTAAGTTTATTCAGGTATACACGAATACAGTTACATAGAATTATCATACATAGCAGCATATGTGTAGAGAACCTAGGATAACCCAAAAAAGTCAGACAGAGTGGCTTATTTCCATTGGGGTCCATTAGTGTAAATATTATGAAGAGAATTTGGAGTGTGGAAATTAGAAGGTGTGGAGTTAATAAAAGTATTAGTCAGAGGGCTGAAGAGGGGATGTTGAGGTGGTTTGGTCATTTAGAGAGAATGAATCTAAGTAGAATGACATGGAGAGTGTATAAATCTGTAGGGGAAGGAAGGCGGAGTAGGGGTCATCCTCGAAAGGGTTGGAGAGAAGTGGTAAAGGAGGTTTTTTGGGCGAGGGCTTGGACTTCCAGCAAGCATGAGTGAGCGTGTTAGATAGGAGTGAATGGAGACAAATGGTATTTGGGACCCAACAAGCTGTTGGAGTGTGAGCAGGGTAATATTTATTGAAGGGATTCAGGGAAACAGGTTATTTTTATATAGCCGGACTTGAGTACTGGAAATGGGAAGTACAATGCCTGCACTTTAAAGGAGGGGTTTGGGATATTGGCAGTTTGAGGGATATGTGTGTATCCCGGGCCAGAAGTACCGGCGAATCAACATGAATGAATGAATATGTTGTGCATATTTATACGTATATGCTTCTAAACTGTTGTGTTCTGAGCACCTCTGCAAAAACAGTGATTATGTATGAGTGAGGTGAAAGTGTTGAATGATGATGAAAGTATTTTCTTTTTGGGGATTTTCTTTCTTTTTGGGCCACCCTGCCTCGGTGGGAGATAGCTAACTTGTTAAAAAAAAAAAAAACCTACTTGATTTTGACACATCTGATCACAAATTACAAGTTTCTTACTGATAAATATTAATAAATCAATTAAGTTTTATTGAAAATGCATTGTATACATGGAATCAATCATTTTAAATTGGAGTATATCAACATGCAATTAGTCCCTCTTGATTCTATTCTTTCTCCATGGGGAAGTGGAACAGAATTCTTCCTCTGTAAGCTATGCGTGTCATAAGAGATGAAGTGCCAGGAGCAAGGGGCTAGTAACCCCTTCTCCTGCATATATTACTAAATTTAAAAAGAGAAGCTTTTGTTTTTCTTTTTGGGCCACCCTGCCTTGGTGGGATACAGCCAGTCTGTTGAAAGAAGAAGATTCTGTTCTTACTTTTATCTCATCCAAATGGTTTTTCTTCTCATTGGTTGAGTGGTTGGATAACTACTACCTAATTCTTACATTTTTTAACACACTGGCTATCTGCCCCCATTCACTCCTATCGAACACGCTCATGCACGCCTGCTGGAAGTCCAAGCCCCTCACCCACAAAACCTCCCTTACCCTTTCCTTCCAACCTTTTCGAGGACGACCCCTACCCCGCCTTCCTTCCCCTACAGATTTATACGCTCTCCATGTCATTCTGCTTTGATCCTTTCTCTCTAAATGACCAAACCACCTCAACAACCCCTCTTCAGCCCTCTAATACTTTTATTAACTCCACACCTTCTTGTAATTTCCACACTCTGAATTTTCTGCATAATATTTACACTACACATTGCCCTTAGACAGGACATCTCCACTCCCTCCAACCGCCTCCTCGCTGCTGCATTCACAACCCAAGCTTCACACCCATATAGGAGTGTTGGTACTATTATACTTTCATACATTCCCTTCTTTGCCTCCATAGACAGCATTTTCTGTCTCCACATATACCTCAATGCACCTTTAATATACCTTTGAAGAATTTCGAGAGTATATCTATGGAAGAGGGTAAGGTACCTAGGGATTGGCAGAGAGCATGCATAGTTCCTTTGTATAAAGGCAAAGGGGACAAAAGAGAGTGCAAAAATTATAGGGAGATAAATCTGTTGAGTATACCTGGTAAAGTGTATGGTAGAGTTATTATTGAAAGAATTAAGAGTAAGACGGAGAATAGGATAGCAGATGAACAAGGAGGCTTTAGGAAAGGTAGGGGGTGTGTGGACCAGGTGTTTACAGTGAAACATATAAGTGAACAGTATTTAGATAAGGCTAAAGAGGTCTTTGTGGCATTTATGGATTTGGAAAAGGCGTATGACAGGGTGGATAGGGGGGCAATGTGGCAGATGTTGCAGGTGTATGGTATAGGAGGTAGGTTACTGAAAGCAGTGAAGAGTTTTTACGAGGATAGTGAGGCTCAAGTTAGAGTATGTAGGAAAGAGGGAAATTATTTCCCAGTAAAAGTAGGCCTTAGACAAGGATGTGTGATGTCACCGTGGTTGTTTAATATATTTATAGATGGAGTTGTAAGAGAAGTAAATGCGAGGGTCTTGGCAAGAGGCGTGGAGTTAAAAGATAAAGAATCACACATAAAGTGGGAGTTGTCACAGTTGCTCTTTGCTGATGACACTGTGCTCTTGGGATATTCTGAAGAGAAGCTGCAGAGATTGGTGGATGAATTTGGTAGGGTATGCAAAAGAAGAAAATTAAAAGTGAATACAGGAAAGAGTAAGGTTATGAGGATAACAAAAAGGTTAGGTGATGAAAGATTGGATATCAGATTGGAAGGAGAGAGTATGGAGGAGGTGAGTGTATTCAGATATTTGGGAGTGGACGTGTCAGCGGATGGGTCTATGAAAGATGAGGTGAATCATAGAATTGATGAGGGGAAAAGGGTGAGTGGTGCACTTAGGAGTCTGTGGAGACAAAGAACTTTGCCCTTGGAGGCAAAGAGGGGAATGTATGAGAGTATAGTTTTACCAACGCTCTTATATGGGTATGAAGTATGGGTGATGAATGTTGCAGCGAGGAGAAGGCTGGAGGCAGTGGAGATGTCATGTCTGAAGGCAATGTGTGGTGTGAATATAATGCAGAGAATTCGTAGTTTGGAAGTTAGGAGGAGGTGCGGGATTACCAAAACTGTTGTCCAGAGGGCTGAGGAAGGGTTGTTGAGGTGGTTCGAACATGTAGAGAGAATGGAGCGAAACAGAATGACTTCAAGAGTGTATCAGTCTGTAGTGGAAGGAAGGCGGGGTAGGGGTCGGCCTAGGAAAGGTTGGAGGGAGGGGGTAAAGGAGGTTTTGTGTGCGAGGGGCTTGGACTTCCAGCAGGCATGCGTGAGCGTGTTTGATAGGAGTGAATGGAGACAAATGGTTTTTAATACTTGACGTGCTGTTGGAGTGTGAGCAAAGTAACATTTATGAAGGGGTTCAGGGAAACCGGCAGGCCGGACTTGAGTCCTGGAGATGGGAAGTACAGTGCCTGCACTCTGAAGGAGGGGTGTTAATGTTGCAGTTTAAAAACTGTAGTGTAAAGCACCCTTCTGGCAAGACAGTGATGAAGTGAATGATGGTGAAAGTTTTTCTTTTTCGGGCCACCCTGCCTTGGTGAGAATCAGCCAGTGTGATAATAAAAAAAAAAAAAATCTACTCTCTGAGCCCGGCCATGGGCCAGGCTAGTCTGGTGCTCGCCTGGTCAACCAGGCTGTTGCTGCTGGAGGCCCGCTGCCCCACATATCCATCACAGCCTGGTTGATCTGGCACCTGGTGAAGATACTTGTCTAGTTTCCTCTTGAAGGCTTCAACACTTGTTCCAGCAGTGTTTCTGATATCTTCTGGTAAGATGTTGAACATTAAAATGGTATAAAATACCGACAGGTTGTTAGGTAAGACACATATGCAACAGTTAGGTATCTTTATTTCGAAACGTTTCGCCTACACAGTAGGCTTCTTCAGTCGAGTACAGAAAAGTTGATAGAAGCAGAAGATACTTGAAGACGATGTAATCAGTTCATCACCCTTAAAGTTTTGAGGTGGTCAGTCCCTCAGTCTGGAGAAGAGCATTGTTCCAGACTGAGGGACTGACCACCTCAAAACTTTAAGGGTGATGGACTGATTACATCGTCTTCAAGTATCTTCTGCTTCTATCAACTTTTTTGTACTCGACTGAAGAAGCCTACTGTGTAGGCGAAACGTTTCGAAATAAAGATACCTAACTGTTGCATATGGTAAGATGTTGAAAAGTCTGGGACCCCAGATGTTGATACAGTGTTCCCTTATTGTCCCCACTGCACCCCTGCTCCTCACTGGGTTTATTTTACACTTTCTCCCATATCTCTCACTCCAGTATGTTGTTATGGCAGTGTGCAGATTTGGGACCAAGCCCTCGAGCACCTTCCAGGTATATATTATCATGTACCTCTCTCTCCTCTGGTCCAATGAGTACATATTCAAGACTTGCAGGCGTTCCCAGTAGTTCAGGTGCTTTACTGGCTCAATGTGAGCCATAAACAATCTCTGTATTTGTTCCAGCTCCGATATATCTCCTGCCCTGAACGGGGCTGTCACCACTGAGCAATATTCTAAGTGAGGGAGCATTAGCAATTTGAAGAGTGTCACCATCGGCATTGTTTCCCTTGTTTTGAAAGTTCTCAATACCCACCCAGTCATCTTCCTGGCTGTCGTGATCTTTGTCTTGTTATGGTGTTTAAAAGAAAGGTCCACTGACATAATTATTCCTAGGTCTTTTATGTGTTCCTTACGTTCTATTTGGTGACCCTCTTGAGTTTTGTATATAGTGCTCCTTTTGAGTTCTTCATTCTTTCCATACCTAAGCAGCTGGAACTTATCACCATTGAACGTCATGTTGTTTTCCACTGCCCACTGGAAAACCCTGTTTATGTCTTCCTGAACTTTTTCAGTGTCCTCTACCGTACTGACTTTCATGCTTATTTTAGTGTCATCTGCAAATGATGATACAAAAGTGTGCCGGGTGTTTTTGTCTATGTCTGCTATGAGGATGAGGAACAGCAGAGGTGCCTGGACAGTGCCTTGGGGCACTGAGCTTTTGACTCACCTTTTTTTCCTCATCAATTCTATGATTAACCTCATCCTTCATAAATCCATCCGCCGACACGTCAACTCCCAAGTATCTGAAAACATTCACTTCTTCCATACTCCTCCTCCCCAATTTGATATCCAATTTTTCTTTATCTAAATCATTTGATACCCTCATCACCTTACTCTTTTCTATGTTCACTTTCAACTTTCTACCTTTACACACACTCCCAGACTCATCCACTAACCTTTGCAATTTTTCTTTAGAATCTCCCATAAGCACAGTATCATCAGCAAAAAGTAACTGTGTCAATGATAGGAATAACTGAAGAAAATTATTATGAAGGCATAGGCAGTAACAATTATGTCATAAATTTGGTTGTCTCCGATTAGTCTTCCTGGTTGCCCCCTAGTACAGCTCAAATGATTAGTCTTAAGGAGGTACCTACTATACCTGATCTGGCTCCAAAGATAAAATATAAGGTTCGAATGTCTTTATGATTTGTTGAAAAAATTATTTAGCAGGTAAAACATTTAGCAGGTAACTACTGCACTGGAACAAGAAACAAATAATCTACAGGATTTGATGTGGTGTTGGAGTGCTAATAAAGTAATAATGTATCTAGCTTTGGGATGCAAAGTGCCATATTTTGAAAAAAGGATGGGATGCTTTGGTTTAAAGTGCTTTTTTCCATGGATCACCCTGCCTTGGTGTCAAATGACCAATTACTTTCTTACTTTCTTTCCTAGTTGGTAATTACGTACTTTGTTATAACTAACCTGACTGTTCATGCCGCTCTTCATTGGACTTGGTTAAACTTTCACTAGAACTTGAGGGATGCACTTGTGAGCCAGCAGAGATTTCTATGCCTGGTGAAGCTGTTGAATCAGTTTCTTCATCTTTTACACTTGGGCACTCTTCAACATCCTGTAGGCAGCCATCAGTAATTCTTCTTCTTCTTCTTTCAACAAACCAGCCGCATCCCACCAAGGCAGGGTGGCCCAAAAGGAAAAATGAAAGTTTCTCCTTTCAACCCCTTGACTGTCACAACCCCAAATCCCGAGGTGTCTCCTTGTGTCGCAAAAACTTGAAAAAAACAAAAAAAAATAAATTCTTATGAAATGATAATTTTTTCCCGATGGTAATGACACCAAAAGTACGAAATTTGATGAAAAACTTACGGAATTACGCTCTTGCAAAGTTAGCGACCTCAGCGATATTAACGAATCGGCAATTTCGCCCACTTTGAGCCCTATTTTCAGCTAATTCCATTGTTCCAATCGACAAAACTTTTAACTATTTCTTTAGAACTCCATTTGTTCTATCGATTGAGTACAAGAAACTGCCCATTTACAGATTTCAACTACCCAATAAAGTGGTCAGAAATTGGCAATTTGGCCAATTTCATGCAAATTAAAAAATATGCCAATTTCAAAATAGGGTCCAGAATGAACAATGCAGACATTTCTGGCTCTAAAATAACATTTTCTTTGTTCATCAGTCACATCTCCAGGCCCCTCTGATATTACTATTGCTGTCTATTTTGAATTTTTATTCAAACAAAAAATAGAAGATTTACTGTTATGCAGACTACTGCAATATTGTAATACTGGTATAAATAAAGTCAACCCATTCATGACTGCATATTAGAATGGCGAGTTGGACATTTATTGGACAATGACATCATTTGTTGACTTTTGAATATTGGCAAAAATCAAACATTTCCCCTACTTTGAGCTCCATTTCAAGGTTCTTTTCATAGTAAAACCAATCAAAATCACCTCTATTTCTATAATATGTTTTTCACTCTATCAAATGAGACCAAGAAAACGAGAATACAACCATAAATAATGTACTATACAAAAATAGACCACAAAGTCGGCAATTTAATTTAAAAAACCGGTCGGAGCTTTTTTTCCTCATTATGCACTGCATGCTGCAGGATTTTTTATATGGTGCATACTGACCACACAGACCCATTCTCTCACATGTGGGCCTACCAGCTTTCTCCTGCTTGATCTGAAGCTGCTAGAATTTATGAGTATATATACGTCAAACACGGTGGCTCGTAAGACGTATATATAAGACCAAAACAGTCAAAGGGTTATATTTAGTAATATATACAGAAGGGGTTACTAGCCCCTTGCTTCCAGCATTTCAGTCACCTCTTACGGCACGCATGGCTCATGGAGGAAGAATTTTGTTCCACTTCCCCATGGAGATAAGAGGAAATAAACAAGAAAAAGAACTAGTAAGGAAATAGAAGAAAATCCAGAGGGGCACGTGTATATATATGCTTGTACATGCATGTGAGGTGTGACCTAAGTGTAAGTAGAAGTAGCAAGATGTACCTGAAATCTTGCATGTTTATGTGACAGAAAAAAGACACCAGCAATCCTACCATCATGCAAAACAATTACAGGCTTCCATTTCACACTCACTTGGCAGGATGGTATTACCTCCCTGGGTGGTTGCTGTCTACCAATTTACTACTTAGGATCAAATTCAACATCATAATTTTTTTTTTTTTAACACGCTGGCCATCTCCTACTGAGGTAGGGTGATCTGAAAAAGAAGAAATACTTTCACCATCATTCACACTATCACTATCTTGCCAGAGACATGACAAAAGTACAGCTCGGATTCACTTCCAAACTTCATTACGTTATACCCACCCCTCCTTCAGAGTACAGGCGTTGAATTTTTCACCTCCAAGATTCGGTTACCCTAAATCCCTTCATATATGTTACCTTGCTCACACTCCAACAGTACATCAAACATAAAAACCACTTGCCTCCACTCACTCTTATTTAATATGATTGTCTATGCCTGTTGGATGTCCAAGCCCCTCTCAAATAAAACCACCTTTACCCCCCCCCTCCTCAAACCTTTCCTAGGAGGAGCCCTGCTCCTCCTTTTCTCCGCTATGGATTTATTACACCCTCCAAGTCACCCATTTTACTCCATCCTCTAAATGTTCAAACTATCTCAACAACCTCTCCTCAGCCCTCTGGATAATACTTTTAGTAATTCCACACTTCCTAATCTCCAAACTATGAATACTCTGATTAATATTCACACCACACATTGCCCTCAGAATGTTGGTACCACTATACTCTGGCACTTTCTCCTTTTTGCCTCCATGGATAAGGTTCTTTGTCTCCACAGATTCCTCAGTGCACCACCCACCTCTTCCCCTAGTCATTTCTATGGTTCAACTCATCTTTCAAAAATCTGTCTGCTGACAAGTCCATTTCCAAATATCAGAGCACATTCACTTTCTTCATACTACCTCCTTCCAATTTGATATCCAATCTTTCATTATCTAAATTTTTGTTAAACTCATAATCATGCACTTTCCTATGCTTACTTTTAATTTCATTCCCAAATTCATCTACCTACCATTGCAACTTCTCTTCAGATTCTCCCAAAAGTACCATGTCAATGGCAAAAAAGCAACTGTGATAATTCTCACTTTGTATTGGTTTCATTATCTTTTAATCCCATACCTCTCCCCAATACCCTAGCATTCACTTCTTTTACAACCCAATCTATAAATATATTAAACAACCATGATGGCATTACACATTCCTGTCCAAAGCCTTAGCGCTTCTTTTTGATTATAATAATAATAATAATAATAATGTCCAAAGCCTATTTCTTCTGGAAAAATAATCTCCCTCTTTCTCTTACATACCCTAAACTGAGTCTCACTATTCTCATATAACCTCTTAAATACTTTTAAGTAACCTATCACCTATTCCATACACTTGCAACATTGCCACACTGCTCACCTATCTACCCTATCATATGCAAGGTAGGGTCACATTAGAAAAGACTGGAGGGAGGGGGTAAAAGAGGTTTTTGTATGTGAAGAGCTTGGGCATCCAGCAGGCATGTGTGAGTGTTGTAAATGGGAGTGGAGGCAAGTGGTTTTTATGACTTGACATGTTGTTGGAGGGTGAGCAAGGTAATATTTTATGAAGGGATTCTGGGAAACTCGTTAGCCGGACTTGACTTCTGGAGGTGAGAAGTACAGTGCCTGAACTCTAAAGGAGGGGTTTGGGATATTTGCTGTTTGAAGGGACATCAGAACCATCATACCTACATGCCTCTGACAAGACAGTGATAGTGTGAATGATGGCAAAAGTGTTTCTTTTTTGGGTCAGTCACCCTCCGTGGGAGATGACTAGTATGTTAAAAAAATATACACATATATTATCCAAGAATTATAACACATAATGCTAATGCTGTATTTTAAAAATATTTAAGACTGAAAATTTAAAACATTTTAATAGTATGTAATAAAATGCCTAGGTAGTTGGCTGGTAGACAGCAACCACCCAGGGAAGTACTACGTCTTGCCAAGTGAGTGTGAAACAGAAGCCTGTTTCACACTCATAAACACATGGGATAACAGGTATGTCTTGCTACTTCTACTTACACTTAGGTCACACTACATATGCATGTACACGCATATATATTTACACACCCATCTGGGTTTTCTTCTATTTTCTTAACAGTTCTTGTTCTTCTTTACTTTCTCTTATCTCCATGGGGAAGTGGAAAAGAATTCTTCCTCCGTAAGCCATGCATGTCATAAGAGGCAACAAAAATACTGGGAGCAAGGGGCTGGTAACCCCTTCTCCTGTATAAATTACTGAATTTAAAAAGAAAAACTTTTGTTTTTCATTTTAGGTTGCCCTGCCTTGGTGGGATACAGCTGGTTCATTGAGAAAATAATAAAATTCATGTGATAATAACAATACAAAGACATATTGCTAATTATAATTATGCCATATATTGTATTATTTATATATCTAAATTTCATGCATATAGTGCTACAAAATAAACGAGACTGTCCAGGAAAGTGCATCCAAAATGGTGCCCTGAACTGAGGGTAAAAGAGTTACTTATGTAGCTGACTGGAAGTAAGAAAAACAAAAGGGACATGATGTAACAAGAACAAGAGGGCATGACTGGAAATTACACACCCAAATTAAACACAAAGATACAGAAAACTCTTCTTCGTCTTTTGAGTGGTAAAGAAGTAGAATGAACTGAACATTGTTGCAGTGGAAGCAGATTCTATATAAGAGCTCAATAACAGACATGACAGAGCTATTTTATGTAAGGCAGTTGAAAGTTATAAGACGAGATCAAGAGTTGGGGTTCATCCCCTCACAATCCAACCTACCTAGCCCCATTATTATACTAACTTCTCAAGCTGCATTTTAATATAACTGACTTACCTGTGTAAACTCATCAATCCAAGAAGTGTAATAGCGAACAACATTTTCATGATTGAGAGAGGAGAGGAGTTTCACTTCACGATTAATTTTCTTCCTAAGTTTTTCAGTCTGTTGATCGAGACATATTCTCTTCAAGGCATAAATTCGATCATCAACTTTGTTACGAACCTGGCAGATAAGGATTACTATGCAGAATTAATTTTTATATGCTGTGCCATACATAAGTAATAAATAATTCTTTCTTAGCACAATTTTTATTGTTCAAAGTTCATTTATAGTACAGTGGACCCTCAACCAGCGATGGCATCGATTAACGATAAATCTGACTAGCGATTCATTTAAACAAAAATTTTGCCTCGACTAGCACTTAAAAACCCGACCAGCGCTTTTCATTCCGTACCATACGCGTCCACTTTGCCCTAAGCGCACCTCACTTGTCCCTTTGGTGCCAGTGTTTACAAGCCAGCCAGCCACCGCAGTCGCTTCCAAACATACAACTGGAACATTTCATATTATCACAGCCTTTTTAGTGATTGCACCTGCAAAATAAGTCACCATGGGCCCCAAGAAAGCTTCTAGTGCCAACCCTACAGCAAAAAGGGTGAGAATTACTATGGAGATGAAGAAAGAGATCATTGATAAATATGAAAGTGGAGTGCGTATCTCTGAGCTGGTCAGGTTGTATAATAAACCCCAATCAACCATCGCTACTATTGTGGGCAAGAAAACGGCAATCAAGGAAGCTGTTCTTGCCAAAGGTGCAACTATGTTTTCGAAACTGAGATCGCAAGTGATAGAAGATGTGAGAGACTTTTATTGGTGTGGATAAACGAGAAACAGATAGCAGGAGACAGCATCTCTCAAGCGATCATATGTGAAAAGGCTAGGAAGTTGCATGACGATTTAATTAAAAAAATGCCAGCAACTAGTGATGTGAGTGAATTTAAGGCCAGCAAAGGTTGGTTTGAGAGATTTAAGAAGCGTAGTGGCATTCATAGTGTGATAAGGCATGGTGAGGCTGCCAGTTCGGACCACAAAGCGGCTGAAAAATATGTGCAGGACTTCAAGGAGTACATAGACAGTGAAGGACTGAAACCTGAACAAGTGTTTAATTGTGACGAAACAGGTCTGTTTTGGAAGAAAATGCCAAGCAGGACATACATTACTCAGGAGGAAAAGGCACTTCCAGGATATAAGCCTATGAAAGACAGGCTTACTCTGTTTATGTGTGCCAATGCTAGTGGTGATTGCAAAGTGAAGCCTTTATTAGTGTATCACTCTGAAACCCCCAGAGTGTTCAGGAAAAACAATGTCCTCAAGGCTAATTTGTGTGTGCTGTGGAGGGCAAACAGTAAGGCATGGGTCACTAGGGACTTTTTCTATGACTGGTTACACCATGCATTTGCCCCCAATGTGAAAAATTACCTAATTGAAAAGAAATTAGACCTTAAGTGCCTCCTGGTATTAGACAATGCCCCTGGTCATCCTACAGATGTGGCAGAGCGACTTTCTAGGGACATGAGCTTCATTAAGGTGAAGTTTTTGCCTCCTAATACCACTCCTCTCCTGCAGCCCATGGACCAGCAGGTTATTTCCAACTTCAAGAAACTGTACACAAAAGCTATGTTTGAAAGATGCTTTGTAGTGACCTCAGAAACTCAACTGACTCTAAGAGAGTTTTGGAAAGATCATTTTACCATCCTCAATTGTGTAAACATTATAGGTAAGGCTTGGGAGGAAGTGACTAAGAGGACATTGAACTCTGCTTGGAAAAAACTGTGGCCAGAATGTGTAGACAAAAGGGATTTGGAAGGGTTTGAGGCTAACCCTGAGAATCCTATGCCAGTTGAGGAATCCATTGTGGCATTGGGAAGTCCTTGGGGTTGGAGGTTAGTGGGGAGGATGTGGAAGAGTTGGTGGTGGAGGACAGTGAAGAACTAACCACTGATGAGCTGTTAGATCATCTTGAACAGCAAGAGGGCAGACCTGAGGAAACTGCTTCGGAGGAGGGAGAGAGAATTGAAGAAGTTGCCTACTTCTAAGATAAGGAAATCTGTGCAATGTGGCTTAAAGTGCAAAGCTTTATGGATGATAATCACCCTGACACAGCTACTGCAAGCCGTGTTGGCAACCTGTACACTGACAATGTTGTGAACCACTTTAGGAAAGTCATAGAGGAACGAGAGGTACAGGCCTCTATGGACAGATATGTTGTGCGACAGAAGTCCAGTGACTCTCAAGCTGGTCCTAGTGGCATTAAAAGAACAAGGGAAGTAACCCCAGAAAAAGACTTGCTGCCTCAGGTGCTAATGGAAGGGGATTCCCCTTCTAAACAGTAAGAAGATAAAGCTCTCCCCTCGTCCCCTCCCCTCAATCATCACCAGATCTTCAATAAAGGTAAGTGTCATGTAACTGTGCATGTAATCTTCAGTTTGTGTGTATTAAAATTAATATTTCATGTGGTAAAATTTTTTTTTTTTCAATATTTTTGGGTGTCTTGCACGGATTAATTTGATTTCCATTATTTCTTATGGGGAAAATTAACTTGACTAACGATTATTTTGACTAACGATGAGCTCTCAGGAACGGATTAATATCGCTGGTTGAGGGTCCACTGTACTGTATTAATGTATGTCCTGTGCTACATGTTACATAATAACCTACTGGTACCTTCAGAAGACAAAAGAAATGAAACACTGCACACACGAGTCTAAAGTTACTAAATAACACAACCTTACAAGTACTGATAAGAAACAGTATGTCAGCAAGCCAAAGAAACACAAACTAAAGATGCACACTGATATTCTTCTAAGTACTCATGAGGATAATATTTAACAAAATTTTCCAGTTTGGACAACCTGAAAGACAAACCACACAATCTTTTTTCTTCAAACTTCATACACATGTAACTACTACTACACTCTTTCTGTAACTAAATTTTTATTATTTTATTAACATATCGGCTGTCTCCCACCAAGGCAAGGTGGCCTGAAAAAGAAAAACTTTCACCATCATTCATTCCACCACTGTCTTACCAGAGGCGTGCTTACACTACAGTTATAAAACTGCAATATTAACACCCCTCCTTCTGAGTGCAGGCACTGTACTTCCCATCTCCAGGACTCAAGTCTGGCCTGCCAGTTTCCCTGAATCCCTTTATAAATTTTACCTTGCTCACACTCCAACAGTACATCAAGTCCTAAGAACCATTTGCCTCCATTCACTCCAAACACACTCACGCATACTTGCTGGAAGTCCTAGCCACTCTCATACAAAACCTCCTTTACCCCTTCCCTCCAACCTTTCCTAGGCTGACCCCTACCCCGCCTTCCCTCCACTACAGATTTATACACTCTCGAGGTCATTCTATTTTGTTCCATCCTCTCTACATGTTTGAACCACATCAACAACCCCTCCTCAGCCCTCTGGATAATAGTTCTGGTAATCCCACACCTCCTCCTAATTTCTAAACTACAAATTCTTTGCATTATATTCGCACCACACATTGCCCTCAGACACGACATCTCCACTGCCTCCAGCTTTCTCCTTGTTGCAATATTCACCACCCATGCTTCACACCCATATAAGAGCATTAGTATAACTATACTCTCGTACATTCCCCTCTTTGCTTCCATGGACAAAGTTCTTTGTCTCCACAGACTCCTTAGTGCACCACTTACCTTTTTCCCCCTCATGAATTCTATGATTCACCTCATCTTTCATAGACCCATCTGCTGACACATCCACTCCTAAATATCTGAATACATTCACCTACTCCATATTCTCACCCTCCAATCTGATATCCAATCTTTTGTTACCTAATTTTTTTTATCCTCATCACCTTACTCTTTCCTATATTCACTTTTAATTTTCTCCTTTTACATACCCTACCAAACTTATCCGCCAACCTCTGCAACTTCTCTTCAGAATCTCCCAAAAGCACAGTGCCATCAGCAATGAGCAACTGTGACAACTCCCACTCTGTGTTAGATTCTTTATCTTTTAACCCCACATCTCCTGCCAACACCCAGGCATTCATTTCTATCACAACCCCTTCTATAAATGTATTGAACAACCAAGGTGACATCACATCCTTGTCTAAGATCTACTTTTACTAGGAAATAATCTCCCTCTCTCCTACATACTCTAACCTGAGCCTCACTATTCTCGTAAAAACTCTTCACTGCTTTCAATAACCTACCTCCTGTTCCATACATTTACAACATCTGCCACATTGATCCCCTATCCACCCTGTCATACACCTTTTCCAAATCCATAAATGCCACAAAAATCTTTTTACCCTTATCTATATACTGTTCACCTATATGTTTCACTGTAAACACTTGGTCTACACACCCCCTTACCTTTCCTAAAGCCTCATTGTTCATCTGCTATCCTACTCTCCCTCTTACTCTTAATTCTTTCAATAATAACTCTACCATACACTTTACCAGATATACTCAACAGACTTATTTCCCTATAATTTCTGCACTCCATTTTGTCTTCTTTGCCTTTATACAAAGGAACTCTGCAAGCTTTCTGCCAGTCCCTAGGTACCTTACACTCTTCCATACGTTTATTAAATAAAAGCACCAACCACTCCAAAACTATATCCCCACCTGCTTTTAACATTTCTATCTTTACCCCATCAATCCCAGCTGCTTTACCCCCTTTCATTCTACCCACTGCCTCATGAACTTCCCCCTGCCCCTCACAACTTGCTCTTCCTCACCCCTACAAGATGTTATTCCTCCTTGTCCTATACATGAAATCACAGTTTCCCTATCTTCATCAACATTTAACGATTCCTCAAAATATTCCCTCCATCTTCCCGATACCTCTAACTCTCCATTCAATAACTCCTCTCCTATTTTTAACTATCAAATCCATTCATTCCCTAAGCTTCCTCAACTTGTTAATCTCATTCCAAAACATTTTCTTATTTTCAACAAAATTTGCTGATAACATCTCACCCACTCTCTCATTTGCTCTCTTTCTACATTGCTTCACCACTCTCTTAATTGTGTTTCAGAATACTGTATTACTTATTTTTATGCAAATTTACATATAATTTCTGTTTACCTTAAACACATGACCAAATCCCCCTCTGCCTAGCAATTCAAGAACATCATATTCACTTGTTAATCTTGAATGCCCTTTAAGGTTGGAGGGAAGATGAAGAGAGACCTCCGAGAATAAATGGTCACCTGCTCCCGAGCATTCATCTTCATCCTCTGCTTGAGATTCAGTGTTGCTTGGAGAAGTCTGATGAGAATATTTATTATTATCCATTATATCTGTTAATTAATGGTTCCAGGATAATAGCCCACACGGCCTGGTCTCAGATCAGGCCTCCAAAATTGAAAAGGAATAAAAAAGTTAGGTAACACACAGGAAACTAAATGTAAGTTTGCACCGTGTATACACCTGTAAGATTTATGATACATGCTATCTTGCAAATTTATGGTATAAAAAGAAAGGATCAGTACTCCTGCATTTAACAGTCTTCCATTTCACACTCCTATGACAGAACTCTAGGTAATCTTCCTGGAGGCTTGTTATCTATCATCCTATACACACGTACATAAAAACAATAATGATTAAAATTGCTATCTTCTTTACAAAATATTACATGAGCAATAAATTCCTCAAGCTTTCAAAGACCTTAAACAAAACCCTCTGGCAGCCAAAACTGGTAACATAGTATTAAGAGAAGCATAAATACTTTATATTAACACCATCAACAAACCTACTAACACAATTCAAATGAGAATTAGGAAACCTTAAAAAAAATTCTAAAAACTGACTTTCCCTTGGCTGCTTTACTACTGAATTAATGGCTGCAATTAAACCTACTGGTGGTAGTGGCATTTTGTTTTATCAGGTCACTGTCAGACAATGATCCACTCAGTGACAAAAGCAATCTCTAATGTATCTGTATTAAGTACAGTGGACCCCCGGTTAACGATATTTTTTTCACTCCAGAAGTATGTTCAGGTGCCAGTACTGACCGAATTTGTTCCCATAAGGAATATTGTGAAGTAGATTAGTCCATTTCAGACCCCCAAACATACACGTATAAACACACTTACATAAATACACTTACATAATTGGTCGCATTCGGAGGTGATCGTTATGCGGGGGTCCACTGTATAGGTGTTTAAGCAACTGGTGGCTTCTTGGTGCTCTATACCCATGGTTAAGCATCAGCTAGCTTACCTGAGATCCCAATTTAGTGTTCTATGATTAAAAAAAACTATTACTTTAAAATTTTGAATGACTTGCCTCATTTCTTTTTTCTTTGTCTGGAGACAGTTCTTTTTCTTCTGTTGAACTATGAATAAATGAATGAGTCAAGAGACGCTCTGCTGTCCATCTTTGCTGTTCATTAACTTCCAAGCATCGCTGAACGAAGTCTTTTAATTCTGAGCTAAGGGTGGATGGTAAAGTTGGTACAATCTGTGGAATTTAAATTTATTTCTAAATGTTACAAAAACTTGCAGGAAACTCTCCTAAAACAATATTTACAAGTGCTTTCTGTATGACGAAAAATCTGGAAAAATAGTTAGCCTTTTGTTAAATTACTTAGTAATTATTTATAGTGCCTCATTTTATGACTTAAATAGGTATCTTTCAAACTGTAAAATTTGCCAATATATCATTTACATAATTCAGTTATAATCTTTTGTCCATGATGACATTCTAGATCCCTCTCTCTCTGTCCAACACTTATATATTTTCAATAAGGGATTCAGGGAAACTGGTTAGCCATATTTGAGTCCTGGAGGGTGGAAGAAGAGTGCCTGCATTCTGAAGGAGTGGGGATGCTACAATTCAGAGGGTCATTTGAATTGTAATGCCTGCATATTTCTCTCATTACAGCTGTTGAATGAATGATGGTACATGTGTTTTATTTTTTGGGTCACCCTACCTAGGTGGGAGATGGTCTGTGTATTGCAAAAAAATCTATATTCTTGGTGTGGCCTGTGACTGCATTTCCCCCCATTTCAATTATATGACATTTATTTTATTATCGACTGTATACAATACACAAATAACTCGCACTTAGGAGACTGAACATTATGACAACATTTCAATCCAACATGGATCATTAACAAGTGACATAGTATTGTGACGTTTTATTCTTCAGTACCAGTAAGTTGATGAATAAGGTAAATGTGCAACACCTAGGTATCTTTATTGCTAAAACATTTCACTTCCACAACAGGCTACCTTAGTCAAATAGAGGAGAATGTATAAAAAGAGACAAAATATGTAGTTTTGACATGATCAGTCCGTCACCCTTAGTAGAAGGTGGTCAGTCCATTAGTTCCTCAAGCTTGAGAGACTGACTACCTCCTATCATATCAAAACTACTTCTGTGTTGTATTCTGTATCTGACTGAAGAAGCCTGTTATGCAGGTATCTGTATTGACCTAAAATTGAGTATAGGTATCAAATTTGGTGGATATGACTAATTTTGATGGTATCGGCATCAGTATCGGCCAATTTTGATGGTAGCAACATCAGTATTGGCTAATTTTTATAGTTTTGCTTTCAGTTTAAAACTGAACATCAATATCAGCAAAAATTTTGGTAAGGTTCTACTCCTATTATCTACATACATTAACTCTATCATCCATCACTTTCATTTACTCAATATATCCAAATCTTTTTGAATAAAAAAAAAATTGAAGAATTTTTATATTTTTATATAGCCATACTTGAGTACTGGAAATGGGAAGTACAATGCCTGCACTTTAACCCTTTGAGGGTTTTCGTCGTACTAGTACGTCTTACGCGTAGGGGTTTTTGACGTACTAGTACTCATAAATTCTAGCGGCCTCAAATCTAGTGGGAGAAAGCTGGTAGGCCTTCATATGAAGGAATGGGTCTATGTGGTCAGTGTGCACAGTCTAAAAAAAATCCTGCAGCACACAGTGCATAATGAGAAAAAAAAAACTTTGACCATTTTTTTTTAATAAATCAGCGACTTTGCAGTGTATTTTCGTATGGTATTTATTGTTGTATTCTAGTTTTCTTGGTATCATTTTATAGAATGGAAGACATATTACTGAAATTGAGATGATTTTGACTGGTTTTACAATGAAAAGTGCCTTGAAATTGAGCTCAAAGTAGCAGAAATGTTCGATTTTTTACCAAACTTCAAAAGTAAACAAATCGTGCCAAGCGTGCAATACACGTCAACTGGTGAGTCTAATATTCTTTCACAAGTGCACCAATATAATTTATACCATTTTTTACACTAATGCAGTAGTCTGCATAACAGTAAATCTTATATTTTTTGTGAGAATAAAAATTCAAAGTGGAAAGCAAAAGAATATAAGAGGGCCTTGAGACGTGACTAATGACTAGAGGAAATGTCATTTTAGTGCCAGGAATGTCTATCTTGTTTATTCTGGACCCTATTCGGAAATTGGCATCTTTTGAAATTTGTGTGAAATTGGCAAAATTGCTAAATTCTGACCACTGTACTGGATAGTTGAATTTATAAATGGTGGTTTCTTGCACCCATTCGATAGAAAAAATGGAGTTCTAGCGAAATATTCATGTTTTTTGTCGACTAGTACAGTGAAATTGGCTGAAAATGGGGCTCAAAGTGGGCAAAATCGCCGATGCGTAAACATCGCCGAGACCGCTAACTTTGCGAGAGCATAATTCCGTAAGTTTTCTATCAAATTTCAAACTTTTGGTGTCGTTATGATCGGGAAAAGATTTTCTATCTTTTCATAAGAGAAAATAATTTTTTTTTTTTTTAAATTTGGCCGACCCTGAGAACGAGTTTCGGAGAGGGCCTGTCGACCCTCAAAGGGTTAAAGGAGGGGTTTGGGATATTGGCAGCTTGGAGGGATATGTTATATATCTTTATATACAGTTGACCCTCGAGTTTCGAACTTAATCCGTTCCAGGAGCTAGTTCTCAAGTCGAAATGTTCGAAAGTCAAATCAATATTTCCCATAAGAAATAATGGAAATACAATTAATCTGTTCCAGAAACCCAAAAATATTCACAAAAAAATACATTTTATAGAAATTACATTATAGTTGGCTTGTTTCAGCTTGGTCAGGGTGATACTTTTTAACAAAAGTTTGCAACTCATTCCACTTTGCACACATGTCCTTAATCACTGAAGAAGGCACCTCATCCACTCCCTCTTCCTCCTCTGAAGCAAGTTCCTGAACTGTGGTCTGATGCTGTTCCAGATGAAGCTCTTCCGGCTCTTCAGTGGTTAGCTCTTCCCTGTGGTCGTCCACCAACTCTTCCACCTCCTCTCCACTCACCTCCAGCCCCAGAGTGTTCTTCAATGCCACAATAGAGTCCACAACAGGCAGAGGGTCAGCAGGGTCAGGGTCAGGGTCAGCCTCAAACCCTTCAAAATCCCTCTTTTGGACACAATCTGGTCACAAATAATCGTCCTCCAAAACACTATCACCTGCCATCTCTTTATCCTTGATCCACACCAGCAACAACTTCTCAACCAGATCGACTGTCTGTGGTCTATTTTTGGTCAGCATATCAACATCTTTTGCAACATCAGTTTCCTTGATTTGTTGTGTCTTTGCCAGGATAGAAGTGATGGTTGATTTGTTTTTGCCATATGTCCTGACAAGCTCAACAAGTCTCACACTACTCTCATATTTTTGTATTATTTCCTTCTTCACGTCTATGGTGTTTCTCACTTTCTTTACCACAGGGGTACCACTAGTAAGTTTCTTTGGGCCCATGGTAACTTATTTCACAGTCGCACAGCACTAAACACAATGAATTAATAGTGAAATGTTTGAATAAGCGAGTAGGTTAGTGTTCACTCAAGCATCAACAAAGTCAGACTGCTCATGACGCCTGTGCTGGGACATGGACAGAGTGGGCTGGTGGACAGGTCCGGTACCCGGTGATACGAAAGACGGAGCGAGTTTGATAATCGGAACAAAATTGATTCGAAAAAAGCAGTTGAAACTCGAAAAGTTTGATAATCGGTACGTTCGAAACTCAAGGGTCCACTGTATGCTTCTGAACTGTTGTATCTGGGTGCCTCTGCAAAGACAGTGATTATGTATGAGTGAGGTGAAAGTGTTGAATGATGATGAAAGTATTTTCTTTTTGGGCCACCCTGTCTCGGTGGGAGATGGATGGCTTGTTGAAAAAACAAAATACATAAATCCAGATCTTGTAGGAATTTACAATCATTTTTATTACTTATTTTACATGGGATATTTTATCATCCGCATTTAATTTTCTATTTCCTTCTTCCTCATTCCTGATTTCTGCTCATTCATTTATGACTTTTTTAGATCTCTGGATTGGCATGACTAAAAATAACAAAAATCACATTATTATTATTACAGTAGACTATTATAATACACGGTTTTATCTGGCACATTTTGGTTATTGCACTATTGAAAAATTGTGGCACAATTTTATACAACACTTCATAAAATTAACTTAACACGGTTCGGTTTGCAGGAGGGGAAAAAATTTGGAGCATCGCCTGTGGGATATTTCTCCAAGTCAGGCCTCTGCCTGACTGTGGGTTAGACCATTGAGATAAGGAAGGAAGGCCTGAAAAAGAGTGTATGTTTAGCACAGGCTGGTTCCACAACTTTAAGTTGCATAATAAATTACATAATATTAAGTTTTCTGGTGAAAGTGCTTCAGCTGATCATACAGAAGCAAGTAATTTCCCTGCTGAATTGCAGGAAATTATTTCTGAGGGTGGCTATGAGCCACATCAAGTGTTTAATGCTGACGAGACAAGTGGTTTTGGAAGAAAATGCCAACAAAAACTTATATCAGTCAGAAAGAGAAAAGTGTACCAGGCTTCAGGACAGCAAAGCATCGCTTCGCCTTGCTCCTTTGCGGTAATGTGTCAGGTGATTTCAAGTGTAAGTCCATGGTTATTTACTGCTCTAAGAATCCTTGTGCTTTGGAAGGTGTAGCTGAAACACCTTACCAGTAATTTGGAGGTTAAACTAGTCAGCATGGACAGAGGAAATATTTATTGATTGGTTTAAGCACCACTTTATTCCTGAAGTCAAGTTTTACCTGTACAGCAAGAACCTTGCATTCAAGGCTCTCTTCATTCTTGATAATTCCCATACTCATCCACAAGCTTTGCTGGATGTGACCCCACATGTGAAAGTTGTATTTTTACCTCCAAATACAAAATCCTTAATACAACCAATGGATCAGGGAGTTATTAAGTCATTCAAGTGTAACTACACAAAAAAGTTATGAAAAAACTAGTTGCATCAATGGACTCTGACTCCAACCTGGCAGTACCAAGTTTCTGGAATAAATTTAACATTGCAGATGCCATCAGCTATGCTAGAAGTGCATGGAATGAAGTGCCCCAATCAACATTAACCTGTAAACAATCCAAACGTATATACGTTCTTACGACTAGTGCCCCAAACGTAAATATACGTTTTATTTTTCCT